CAGAGAGAGAAACTTACAATGTCGGTGCCGCCGCTCATGTTGGCCAGCTGCGTGTGCTTGTGAAAGCCAACGTCGTAGAACCAGTCAAACGTCTGGTCCGGAAGCACCATGCCGGTGCACGTCACGGTTCTCAGCGTCGACACGTCGGCCATGTCGCGCGGCGCCAGCCCCTTGCTGATGAGCTCGGCCATCCACCGGGGACTCACCCCCAGCACGGTGACGCCGTATCGGGCGACGAGCCGCACCAGCACGCCGACGTCGGGCTTGAGCGGGCTCCCGTCGTAGAGAATCGACGTGGAGCCGCTAATCAGCGCGCCGACGGCCGACATGTACATGATCCAGCCCGTCGTCGTGTACTGCAGCATGACGTCGTCCGGGCACATGCCGCGGTGCAAGACGCTCTCCTTGTGGCCGGCGAGCAGCATGGGCCCGACGCCGTGCACAATGGCCTTGGGCGCGCCGGTGGTGCCGGACGAGTAGTACACCACCATGGGGTCCTGGAAGCCGACGCGCACAAACTCGGGTGGGAAGCCGTCGTCCGCGCCGGCGGCGGCGGCGGATGAGAGAAAGTCTTCCCAGCGCTCGACGCGTGGTGCTAGGTGCGCCGTGTGGTAGGGTGAAGCGGCGAAGCGTGGAATGGCAATCATGGACTCGAAGCTGCTGCAGTCGGCGACGAGACCTTGCAGCATGCCAGACATTTTTTCGCGGAGGTCGATGATGCGGCCGTTGTAGAGGGCGCCGTCGTCGAAAAAGACAAACTAGGTAGGAACTGGTGAGCAACAAGTTCGGGGTTCCGCCGCGCCGTCTACTAATCGTCACCTTACCTTGGGGTTTATTTGCGTCGTTCTCTGCAGCAGCCCGTTGATGCCCATATCAGTCGAACTGCTGCTAAAAAGGCCGCCGAGCCACGTCGCCGCCAAAAACACCAGCAGCGTCGTGTACGAGTTTGCGCCCACCGCCACGATGCGATCACCCTTTGTCACGCCGCGAGCTTCCATGGCCGCCGCAAGTCTGCCCGCATCCCGACGCAGCTCGCGCCAGGTCACGGCGCGCTCCTCGCCAGCACCGCCCTCACGCACCTCGACCAGGGCCACCTTGTCGTCCTCCTTGCCGCGCGTACCCCGCGTCCCCGCGCCGTGCTCCAGGCTGCGCCGGTATAGGTAGTTTTCGGCAAAGTTGAGCCGCACGCCCTCGAACCAGCGCGGCAGGCCGTCCACGGGGATGGCCTCGTCCACCACCCGCGAAAAGGTGCCCTCGTGAATGGCCCGCTGGCCGTCCCAGACGGCGCCCCAGAAATCGGCGCGTTTGGCGCAGGACCAGGCGTAGAGCTCGTCAAAGGTCTACATTTTAATCGCCAAAAGGCAAAAGCAACGAGGCTCAGTTAGTCAAAGAGAAAAAGAAAAGAACAGGGAAAAAAAAAAAAGAGTTCCCGGCGTGACGAAAGAGAGAAAGAGAGAGAGAGAGAGCGTAGAAGTGGTGAAGCGGGCTCTTGCTTACCTGCATATTCAAGCCGAAGCGGCTGTTGCAATTTTGCATAAACTGCCACATTTCCGTCGTTTTGGGGTTGGGATGCTCCCAGAGCTTGCGAGGCATGGTTTCTAGATCCATGGTGTCTTGATGTGCTACGACGACTTGGTGATGATGTTTGTTCTGGGTAAGCCGTGTGAGCCGTGCTGTTCAGCTTATAATCTCGGCTGTCCGATCCCGCTCCGTCCGGGGTTCTTGTCTGGGGTATGTCATACTGGGGAATAGTGATAGTGAATAGTTACCGTATAGTCCGTTCTGACGCGCTAACAACTCGAGAAATGGCGCATACAGAAGAGTTTCGACCAAATTACCACTTTTCTTTTTATTTTCAAAGTTTTCTGCTGATTATTCAAGTTTCCATTACGCTCAATCACTTTCTTGTTAACCCGTTTTCAGCCGATTTTGTAGTGGGTGTGGTACCGCTACGGCGTTGATCCTCCGTGGGCTGGCAACTGGATAGACCCCGATCGGCGCTGCTGCCAAGCCCTTGATTACTCCAACTTTACGCCTGCAGATAAGTACGGATAGTGCTTCTGGAATGAATGATGCCGCAGTGTGAATTTTTTTTTAAAAGTCCTACTACTTTGCCATTTCGACCGAATAATACTAGGTTTATCGCTGAAATTTGTGAGGAAAATTCGGCCGAATCAGGTCCTCTTACTACCAAGTACCACTCAAATTACAACATCTTCCTTGCTCATGAAGCCACATTCTAATCAGCCTCGCAAATCCCACCCCCCAAGGCCGCTCTTCCCGCCGAGCTCAGGTCGGGGCAGTTTTGCATTATGCCGAGAGATCACCACTTCCGCTATTTCCGTCCCATGTATTCGTATAACAGGACGATACATGAACCACAATGAAGCGGGCCAATATCGATTGGATTTCTTTTCGTATTTCCGCAAGTCCATCTAAACGGGTTCTATAAACTTCAGGTCAAATATTGGCAAAGCTTGTCAAAGCAAAAGGAATATTTGTCAAAGAAAAAGGAACATGATGCCAAAGACTCCTCACAGCTACTTTTGCCCTCACCCGTAATCCTTGTTTAATCCATCATCTCCTGCACAATACTCGTACAATCATATCCAGCTAGGCTAGACGCAACAAGTCCACCTGCTCGAAATCCCATTTACCCACTGCGTCGTACTCCAGGAAATCCCGAACAAAGGAATCAAAGTATTCCCCCGGCACGTCTGCCAGCTCCGCATTTGGCCGCAGCCGCGGCGGCACCATCACCGTACCGGCGGCCTCCTCCCACGGCGACTCGGGCGGGCTGCATACTTGCGGTGCGTCGTCGTCGTCGTCGTCGTCGGCGTCGTCGTCGTCGTCTGCGGGCCCCCCACTACCATCGTAGAGCTTCTTTCGCGAGAGTATCAGCTCAAAGAGCGGAATCGCCTTCTTGACGGCCGGTATCTCGCGCAACTGGTACAGCGCCAGCATGGCCTGGCTAATGGATATGCGAGACATGGAACGGACCAGTTCCGACTCTGAAGGGTCCAGAGCAGCTTCGAGGTGTAGCGCCAGCAATGCCGGCACAGCCGTCATCCTAGGTTGGGACATGGGGGTCAGCCAAGTTTTTTTTTTTTTTTTTTTTCTTTTGCAAAAGGTGTTGTTTTCTGTGCAAGGTTCTTTGCAATGATTGATACGTACATTGGAATTATGAGCTCACTCATCATGCCGTTGGCTAGGAGTCTTGCGGTTACGCCGTCGAGCTCGAGCATGGCAGACCGGAGTCTCTGCTTCGCAGCGTTGCTTTTTGGCGCATCCACGCACCGAAGCTGCCGCTGGATCAAGCGACATGATGTGGCTTCGTATCTGTAGCTGGTGCCTAGTAGTTCCAAGTAGTGAATGTTGCTATTTGGTGACTGGTCGCCAAGCTGTAATTGTGTGGCGAGTGATGTGCGCCAGGCATTCAACGGTCGCATCAACGACGCAAGATCAAGGCATGGATCCTGAGCAATCTTGGACACTACTACGCCATCTGGATTTTCATCATTAGAAACTTGTAAAAAAGTTAGAAAGAACTGCCAATCTCACAGATTTTTGCCAATTTGCAAATGGCTATAAACAAGGCTTTTTGCTGGCCAGTGGTTGGAGGCACAATGTCTCGATACTCTGGCGGTATTGGCTCCGTGCTCCAGGCGCTCGTCGTCGGCGTCTCCATAGCTGGAAGACTATTCATGTATGCTGTATTGCGAAACTCGGAAACTAAATGAAAAACATGGCGGCACTTTTGCAACACCAGCCATCATCAGCCCCCGTAATTGCCAGAGGAAACCGCGCTGCAAGATTTTCAACACTTACGTAAAGAGACCATGCAATTCTTGAATACATTCCAGAGCTATCATTAGACTCGTCGTTTCGATTCAAACTTGAACAGGCTTTGTTAGCTGCGCGGCCGAAAAGAGCGGATGATAAGCAGGGGACACACTCACTGGCTGTAGAGTTCAAGCTTGGTGGCGAGTCGAAGGGCATTATAGAGCCAGTAGTTGGAGTCCTTGTCCGTAGGCTGCTCGGCGAGAACTCTGGTCATGAGAATCGATCCTTGAATCAACGGCAGAGCATCGCTCTCGACACCAAAGTCGCAGAGTAGAGTGGCTCTCGACGCAAAAGTGGCTTGCGCCTCTGACCTATCAACAAACCCGCACTGCTCTATAATTTCGTGCGGCACGTATAGGCTAGCGGTTGCCATGATTGTATACAACAAGAATAGCGAGCATGTTCCGGCTTCAAACTTGTTTACGAAATCGACCTTGTCAATGATGGGCGAGCACGGCTCCAGCAGTACGAAATAGCTAGTGAGAAAGGCGACGCTGCGTCACGCCGTTAGTAAACCGGGTTGGAAAAAGTGAGAGAAAAAGATTAATCGCGTCTCTCTCACATGCATGGGCGGCAAGTCGAAAACCCTCTTCTTGCTCAGGTATTCCTTGTCAATGTCGTCCAATGGAGGCGTCCCATGCCCATCGTCGGCCGAGTCAAACGGTGTCCCGGTCTTGTCATTCTGTTCATCATCAAGCGCGCCATCATTGACGGCCTCTTTCAAGATGTGATAGTAATGAAGCTGCGTCCGAGATTGATGCTTGTCCATCGAGTCCGGCGTCGGCGCATGCCGGGACGAGCCGCCGGGGCTGCGCGACCAAGCCAGCGATGAGGCACGCAGCGGCTGCGCCTTTGGTGTGTTTGCCTACATTGCGCCGCGCATTAGTACTTTTTCGTCATTGAACCTCCCGATACGCTGCCATAAAGTGCTATCCCCGCGCGCTCGCAGTATCGTGCAATGTGTAAACTCACAATCGTCTGTTGCCGCTGCTGGGGTAATGCGGCACTGATGCTTCTCGCGGCCTCACCGGGTCTATCAGTTGTCTCGGTCTCCGGTCAGCAATTCATTGTACCGAGTACTGAGAAATACACAACAAGTCACTGACCTTCTGCGGCGTCTGCGCGTCGCGATTGTGCAGCTCTCTGCACAGTTTCGACTTACACAGCCGCTGCACGGCACGCCAATCGTCGCGGCGTCGCATTTTGTTTTGCGGCCACGACACGGCACGCAGGCTTTGGTAGGTGTTGTAGAGGCCATGATTGCGCAGCTTTATATTCTCATTGAGACTTTTCGAGACCTCTGCATTAGAAGAGATTGACAGCCGCAATTGGAAGGAGTGGTGAGTGAGCGGCGTGGACTCGCCCATTTAGCGCGGCGATTTGGGAAAAGCCGCGGCAATTCGGCAATATCCCACTCGGCCTTGCCCCAACACAGTACAGTGTATCCGTATCGTCAAACGAAGTGAAGGGTTTCCCATTCATCTTGATCAATTTACTTTCCTTCTACTGACAAGAAGGGCGCTTCCTGTTGCCTTTAAAAGTCTCGTACATAAAATATGCTACCTCTTCGGGTCAATGACCTGCTGCTGTATACTGGAACGAAATATTCGCTAGTTTACTGTGAATGCGTTACTTCCGTCGAAATGTTGCCACAAATCTCACAACGTCACATTGCATAGACACCAAAGTAAAACTCATACATTGTATATTAAAGCAAATTAACTTGTTTGTGAATAGTCCCATGCCAGGGGCACAATGTCCTTGAAAACTCCTTGCCATAACTTTTGGGCCCTTGGAAAAAATGATCAAAAATACATAGTCTCAAAGTCCTCCGTCCTCCGTCATCATCAACATAAACATAAACATAAAAAGAAACGAGAAAAAAATTTGACAAATAAAGTTGCCATCAACTATAGATATGGCATCCATAAAACATCACACTGCGCCAAATTCATTGGATTAACTGCCTGGGCCACCGCATCAATGACTGTCTGGTTGGCAGGCAAGTTGCCCGACGGGTTGTGAGCCAAGCTTGCAGCGCGCTTGACAATGCTATCGCTGTTCACCTGCACCGACTCGCGTAACTGACTCTCGCTGATACCGTTGCGGTGACTGCTCGTGAGCCAAAAGATCATTTCATCTCGCACAAAGAGCGTTAACGCATGCTCTAGCTCGTCCTCGGGCTCAGTCAGGCATCGCGCGATAGCCATGACGGCGCATGCAAAGATGCCCTCCGTGGCCAGAGGACCCATCAGGGTTTGCAGATTCGGCGTAAGACGGAACGGCACCGGCTCTGGGTTATGGAAAAAGGGCTTGTTGGCTCCCATAAACGACATCAGCTCGGAGCCCCAAATGTTTCCTGATCCACGGGCAATATTCATCTTGCCCGGGTAGCGGTTGTGCATAAACAGAATGTATGTCATGAACGTTAGAGACGACAGCTGGTACGAGAATTGGCGACGGAACAGCCAAAACTCAGCAAACTGCGGAAACACCTTCTGAAAGTACTCCAAGACAACTGTAGGCGGCACCCACTTCTCTTGAATTGCATTGAAGACCTCGAGGCGTGCCGTGGGTGTGAGCTCTGCCTTACCCTGGCCCTTATTCTCAAGCACACCGCGGAGCTTCTCGAGCGTGAACAAGACCGGCTCATCCTTTGACATGCCCACACGTCGGCAATGGTCTTCGTAAATTCCATGCAGCGTAATGTACGACGTATCCTCTTGTACGATCCTGATATGAGGCGCCAGAGGGACCATGAGTGGCAGCGTAAACTGCAAGTCGCGCCGTCGACTCTCCTTTTTGCGTCCCAGCGTCTGGTTGAGCTGGCGAAAGAGCTGTAAGATTCGCTCCTCACGGCGACAGTGCCGTGCGGCTGGGTGCTGAACAGCCCACGAATGAACACTGCCATCGTGACCACGCATCTTGAGACGACGATACGATGCACTGATGGAGCGCACCAGGTCGACATTTGGTAGGAAGCGCTCGATGCGGATAAAGTCCTGGTTCTTGTCCTTGTGCTGCAAGTACTGGCCTGGCACCTCAACTTCATCAAACTTCTGGTACCGAAATTCGCTCAGGTGAGGCGAAAAGGCCTCGAGAGGCGTGTGACAGATTCGGCGATCCAGCTTCTCCTCGAATTTGCCACGCCAGCGACGCAGCTTATGGATGTATTCGTACATTGTTGGCTTGACATCCACAAAGTCTGCCTCAAACGACTTCTTGATATGGCTCGGCAGAATTGTCTCCGCAAATCGCGTAATGTTGGTCTCGGTCGCCGAAGGGAGCTTAACGCTTCTAGCGAAAGACGGCGGCGTGCGACTGACATATGTCAAAGCATCATTCAGTAGCGCCACAATCAATCTATAAGCATCCTCGTCGGGTGGGCACTTGAAGTGCTTTTGAATTTGATCGACCATGGTTTCCATTGACAAGGCCAGCAGAGGGAATGCTGTCTTGAGGACCGCCATAATTTCTTCCGTGAGCTCCCACGGAGGCTTCTTCCCGTTCTGCCCAGTTTGCGCGGTCTGCGCAGTTTGGCCTGGGGGTTTGGCATCGGACCCGGGCACTGGAGTAGAGGCTGCGGCTACAGTAGCGGGGGTTGCTGGCGTAGCCGCTGAATCGCCCTCAGTCTTGACAACGACATCGCCATTGTTGGCGGTACCAGGACGGGATGCGTTGTCGGGTTTGGGGGTGTCAGACTTGACCACAGACGGCGAAGCACCCGCCTTCATGTTTGCCATGGACTGCTGTCGCTGGCGTGCCTTCTCCTTGGCTTCCTGATTCTTCTTGATGACCAACATATCTTCTCGGTTGGTGCGGAGCTGGAAGTACAGTGCTTGTGGGTAAGACTTGGCGATGCTGAGCAGAATTTGGTACACACGGGGTGCCTCCTTGTGACCCAGGCCAGTCAGAAGCTGCGGAATGTACGTGATCCAGTACCACACGGGGGTTTCGCCCTTGAAGTCATCAAAGCCCATGGCAATGCTACCCTTGGCATCGTCGAGGCTCAGAAGCCACAAGATGCGAGCCAGAAGCTTGCGTGATTTGGCATTCTTGTAGCTACCGGCGGCTTGCAAGTACGATGTGAGAGCTTGTCGGGCCGCATTCAGGTCCGAAGGGTTCTCCTTAAATTTGCGGTCGTTGAAATGGCCCCATTCGGCCCATGCCTTGGCTGCACCAATATCAAAGTACAGAGCCGTTCCATACGCCGCGTCGGCTTCATCCTTGTGCTTCAGCTTCTCCTGGAACATGCCCTTAAGAGTATAGAATTCCGCCTTCTGCTGAGGATTGAAGTAGTTGAGGTTAGTATTGTTGATAACGTCGAGACCACTGTTGAGTTCTTCGGGATTTTCGTAGTGGCACTTGGCTTGCTCACGAAGCTTCAAAAAGGCTTCTTGGATTTCGATGTTTGGCAGAGTGTAAATGCGACTGAGCTGACTTATGCAGACATCCGGCAGATTGTGCTTGCGCGCGACATGGGCAAATCTGTTAATGATCCAGGCAGTCTCATGGTAGCCGCGGTAGGCAAACGAAGATGCAGCGCCACCGTTTTGCCCTCCCTGCGGGGGTAGCAGTTGCAAATACGTTTGATTGATCACGCCAAAGATGTGCTGTCGCCAAGTGACAAGATCCTGCCAGGCAGTAATGTCATCCCAAACATTGGGGAGACGGTCGCGCCAGGCACCTAACAGCAGCTTGAGCTCGCCCGACTTAAGATCAAGGTTAGCAGCAGTAGTGCTTGCCAAGCTCTGGCAGATCACACTAGCATCATGCATCTCAACAAGCTCCTGGAAATTCTGCAGCAAAGGTATATGGGCATTGGTCAATCGGTCAGGCAGCTGGTGCCACTTGCGAATCGAAAGTTGAATGGCCTCATCGCAGACACGGCCGAAGTCGGCAAGCGTCTCCTGTTGGTTGTGGTACTTGAGCAACGACATGAACGCCTGGAAGAAAGCCCGGCGGGGGGTAGGCGCATCCATGACGCCCTTGATGATATTATCCAGAGCTTCGCGGTGCTGCTCGTCCTGCCACATCTCCGTGTTGCGCCAGGCGCATTCCAACAGAAGGTCTTGGAAGTTTTCGTGTTTGGCAAAGTCTTGCAGAATCTCCCACTGCTGCAGCTTCTGAGCACAGAGAACCCAGTGATCCTCCCAAAGCATGTATTCTGCTTGCGAGAAGGGAATGACACCAGTTCGAGCCTTGATCTGTGCATTTTCATACAATTTCTGGGCCTTATCCCACATACCATTTTGCTCGTAAGACAGGCCGGCGTTTGTCTCTACAAACTGGCAGCGGCGCCGCCACGTTCCATAGAACAGGTCATCTTCCTGCAAAGCCCCGTACAATTCGACAAGAGCGTCCAGATTGCTTTCTCGAACAGTAGCTGAGTCACCCATGGGCTTGATGGCGGCATTCTCTAGCTGTACAAGAGCGGCATACCACGCATCGTAGGTCTTGGCCTCAAATTTGAGCACATGGGGGGGCAATTTGCAGTCCGGCCAAGTCCTGCCAGCCCCTTCGACGAGAGACTGTACAACATTTGGTCGCTTGTCAATCTGGCGGCTGTGGTAGTCCTTGGTCAAAAGAGCGACGATACCTCTCTCGAGATCGGCACGCTCGTCACGAGCCGTAGCAGACCAGAACATTGGGAACATGGTCTGCCATAATTGGTGAGCGAGCTGATTGTCGGCGTGCTGCAATTGTGCAAGGGGTTCGATGACATCCTTGACCTTCACATCACCCAACTCATGGATGAAGCGGCGGTGCTTTAACATCAACTCATCAAATTTGTCATCCGACATGGCCGTGGGCTCACGCGCAGTATCCTTGGGGTAGACCGCTGCGAGTTGCGATGCAGTCAAGACTCGGTAATCTTCATGGTGCAGCTGGATGGCTGTGTTCATTTCCATGGCTCCGAATAGGAGCTGCGAAGCTTGCGCTAGCCAATATGAATCAGCCAGGGTGTCCCAATTCTGTGCAGTCAAAATGTAGGATAAGCGGACGCTGGCAGTCTTGGAAAGGCTCTTGTCAAAAATGGTCATGAAACGGTTGCGCATCTCAACATCAGCGGCTCGGGTCCCGATCAAGAAAGCATGTTCCATGCGCACGGTAAGTTCGGTTCTCGTAATTCTCGGGTCTTCGTAGATCTTGATCACCAATTCCAGAAACTTGGACAGCATGGTAGGGTCCTGTCTGTGTTCAAAGCAGAGCATTTTGTGAAGAACGGCCGTCTTCTCCTTAAGCGTCGGCCACGAGCCTTCTACTCGAAATACCCAACCTTCAACCATGTTCAGGATCTCCGTGCAAAGATCAATGTGCAGTGACTTTTCCACCAAGGTCGCCAAGACGCTGAGAAAAGGTCTTCTGTTGTCCCCCAGCGTCTCCATTCTCAATGCAACAACTTGGATTTCTTTGATCATCAATCGCGTCTGGAGCTCCAGTTCATACGCAGGAAGCTCGCCGGTGGTAGCGGGAGCATCGGCAGCGCGCTGAGATCCGCTGGCGGCGTTTGCCAAGGCATTGTAATGCTGGACGTGTTCACGAGCATGTTTGCTCTGCAGAGCCTTCATCAGGGAAGGAATGTGCCGGTCAATAATAGCAGGCTTGCGGTCTTCCAGAGACCACAGAATGTTGACACCGGAAAAGTAACAGGCATTGTTCATTTGATCGGTCGCGATTTGAGACAAGTATTGAACAATCTCGGAGCACGACGGTTCAGACTCGCCATCCGCATCAGCGTCCTCCATCGGGGTGTCTTCAGGAATAGCCTCCAACACACGCTTGACGGTTGATCTTAAATCGCGGCCATCATCATATTTTTTGTCTTCGAGATGCAAGCAATCTTGAATCTCGGGGTTTTCAGACCTGAGGCACTGATCCAGCACCTTCCGCACAGCGGGGACATTCTTTTGAATCCAGTCATCTGACTTGGCATTCAGAAGGATGCGGACGACTTGCAGAGTATTGATGATGCTCGTGAGAAATTTCTCATCATACTTCTCCTTGTCTGTGGGATCGGCATTGAGGATGACTTGAGTCTTCTCACTGGCGAGCATGACGTCGGTGACATTAGGAAACAAGTCAAGCTCCAGATCGCCCCAGTACTGAGGTTGCACCAAGTGGTGCAGCAACGACATGGCCTTTTTACAAAGCTCGCTGGATGTCTGCGGTACGGGCATAGTCGTAGGAGTTGGCTCCCGTGGCTTGGCAGAAGGAAGCACATAACGCTCATTCAGCTGAGCGATAAACTCCACGAGGAACTTCAGCATCTTTTGCCGGAAACCCGGAGGTATGAGATACTCGGGGACCGTCTTGGCAGGTGCCGGTGAGACGACTGGCTGATCTGTGCTATCAAGCTTTCGCTTCCTAGACACGGGAGAAACTGACCCGCCAATGATACCGCTCCTGCCTTCGACGCGCCATTGCTCCCAGGTCCAGATCAACCACATCATGTTGAGAGCCAGTTTCTTGTGCTCATGGGAAGGGTTTGGTGGCACGGCAACCTTGCGCAGAGAGCTGATGATGAGTACAATGTACTTATCACGCGCTTCGTAGAATAGCTCCGGATGCTTCACAAGAAACTGGAAGATGCTCATCATTTGCTGAACATTGTGTCCTTCGTCGGCGAGAATGCGGCGAGGTACAACTTGCCAAGCAGGGAATTTCTCGCTCGGCAGAGTAGCACAGCGCTTGGGCAGCACGGGTGCGATGAGTTCAAGAGCTTGCGTCACCAAGGCACGTCCTTCGTTCTGGTTTGTCTTCAACAAGGATAGGTACACTTGATTTACAATCTTAGTCGGCGTTTCGTAGTGTGCAATAAAATAACCGATGACGACGTAAGCGGCATGCTTGTTGATAATATCCTCCAGACGGATATATGTCCAACCGAACTTGATGATGTCCTTGCGAGCCTCTTGCAAGGTGGTGTAGTAATATTTGACAAGCATTGCCGAGAGTTGGAGAACCTCAAACCTCGTGTGATCAATACCAGCTGCATCATCTGAAGCCATGTCTGGATGGACCTTCCAAATCTTGGAGCTCACAGCATCAATGACTGCTTTGTCCATGAAACGTTGTGATTTGTCTTGCTCCGGCCGATTCCAGCGTCTCATGACATCCATTGCAACGATTGGGTTGACAATATTGTGTAGCAGGAAATATTTCGTCTTATTCGAGACATTTCTGGCGGAGTACGCATCTAGGCAACGGAGCACCGTGCTTCTCCAGAAGTCGATTGAAGAGCTGGAAATGACATTCTTGTAGATGAACGAGAAAAGCGCCTGGGTCGAGCGGAGCTCCTCGGCCGTGACGGGTTCAATGAGGCCGAACAGCGCGTCCAAGTCCTTTGGAGATCGTTCCAGAGTCTTGACCAAAACATCCATGAGCTGCTCGGCTGCCTGGTGAGCAGGAAGGCGCATGGCGGCAGGACAGGTATAGCTACAAAGGTGGCTCTCAAGATCCTTGCCTATCTTCTTCAGCCAGTTCAGATACTCCTTCTTGTCCATCCATCCGCATGCATCGGGGTACTGCGAAAGGGAGTGTAAGATGTGAATGGTGTTGACCATGGCAGTGAATTTCTTCTCGTTATTCTGGCCAATAACCTCATTGCACTTCTTCTGGAGGGTCTCAAATTCTGCTGCAGCAACCTCGCGCATTGGGCCGCTGTCAGGATGTAAGAGCACTTGGGCAAGGAGTCTGCCGTACTTAAGTTCATCAATCTTGCTGATTAGAAAGCCCCAGACTTCCTTAGCATATCTGTTCAAGTACAGATACATGGGCTCCCTGAACGGACTTTGGTGTGTTCTTCTCAGTCGATCCTCGAGCTCAAGCAGAGTATTAATCAGTCGCTCTTTGAAAGTCTCGGCCTGAGGGGGTAGGAGATGGAAAATGTACAAAATAGCTGCGATAACCTTCATTTGAGAATTTTGCTCGAAAAAAGTGAAGGAAATTTGCTGCCAGGCGTTAGGGTCAACTATGCCATCCACTTGATCCAGCAAGCGCACACCAATTTCGACTTTGAAGTAGCTTGTAAGTAGCTTCAGTAGACGAGACAGATTTTCAAGGCCGTTGACATTAAGTCGCTTGGGGTCTGACAAGCTCTGCAAAACGGGACGCAGACCACCTTGAAGTAAGTCCTTAGGTAACCTCCGATCGACCAGCAGGATAGATTTGAGAGCATCGTTGGCCGCAGCAATTGTAGGCTTCGAGTCCGAGTAAAGGCACTTGAAGAAGACTGACAGGATCTTGCCCTTGGTAGGACCGTTGTTGAAGTCTTCGAAGGACATGGCCATGCTCAAAAGCTTGATGCAAGAAACGCGCAAGTTGACAATGTGCTCGTGAGTGCGGTACTCCGCTGGCTTATTGGCCAACGACTCGTCACTGGCATCGGCAAGAGCAAGTGACTCCATTAGCAGTCGGTTGAGGTTATCATCAAACTTGACCCAGTCGCTCTTGAGGCTCATATGGTACGTCATGGCGTTGATATATCCAATCTGGATAGCAAATGGCAGAGCGCGGAGTGGCTTGGCATAGATGGGTTGCAAGAACCGGTCCTTGTACGGCTCAACCAGTTCCCAGACTTCACAGCTGGCAGCCTTGGCAATGAGCTCGAGAGACTCCCTTGCTGTCTCGCGCACAAACTTGTTCATGTGAAACAATTCATTGTTGAATTGCATGCAGATTTGCGCGAGACTTGGCTGCTTGACTAGGGGCTGCCCCTGCTGTTGCTGGACAGGCAGCGCGTCCTCCTTTTTGATGTTCTTGGTGATGCGATGGAGGAGCACTTCCAAGCTGGTTTGGGCAAGGCATCGCGTTTTCTCGGGGAGATCAGGAGGCATGTCCTTGATGACATACATGAGCGAGCGGATGAATTCCATCTGCTTCGTCGCGACCCATTGATCGCCGAAATCAAGTTCAGTGAGAAGAAAGTTGATGCCGAGGCTGCCTCCGGCCTTTGTAAACCATTCTTCCTCATAGCAGCTGTGGCAGAAGGTGCTGCTAAGGTGACTAAACAGGGGCAGGCGGCCGACATTGTCGGGGGAGCCGAACACGGTAGCAGCGCACTGGAAAAGGTCGTGAATGGCAGTTTGAGCTGCTTCACGAACATCAGGGTGGTCAGAGGCCAACGACTCGACAATGGCATCGGACAGTACACGAGTATCGATGAAGAGCGGCCCTTCGCCGGCCTTTGGATCGAATGGACTCGTTGTGCGCTTGAAGTCGACGAGTGACCTTCCAATCTCGATCAGGGCGAAGTGTCTGCAAATATTCTGCATGAAAGCCGAAGCACTCTCTTTGAAGTCGGGAATCGAGTAGGCAAACATGACGGCCTTCAACAGACGCTTTGTGATTTGATCTTGCTCATCTTTCTTCGAAACGGACTTGTCGCGGCTCAATATCTCAAAGGGCGCAAAGTTGATGTCGAGTTTACGGGCAAGCAGATCTTGGGCCTGTAATCGAACAACACGCGGCAAATTTTCTGGTAATTGATCGTACCCGATGCGCAGCTTCAGCTGAGTTTTGATAAAATGTAGCGCTTGGCTCTTATAATAGTCCTCGCACTGCTTGGCCTGGTTGCCTTTGCCGTTCTTGACAACTTCCATAAGCTTCTGAATTGCAAAGTCGATACCCAAATCGGCAGGGAAAGCTCTGTCATTCTTGGAACCAATGAGACGAACGTCAAAGCTGGAAGAATCGTCTGCATATGTCTTATAGGCGAGTGGTACAGCCGCGGACATGAACTTGCGGTTTCGACCTCCCAATTTACCGAGGATGCGCATGGTGGTGTGCGCGTGGAAATGATTGTAAGGATGCGGTCGCAGATGGTCAAAAAGCGCAGTCATGAGCTCATCAATCACTGGAGCCATGATCGGATCAAGATAATCCGTAGTTAAATTGTCGACGCAAAGTTCGAGTGTACGAAGCCCTTGGCCAACTAAATCGGTGCCGGCGCGGAGAGCAACGACGAGTGGACGCATAAGGAAGCTCAAATGAGGCAGCAAATGACTCAGTCGAGCAGGCACCGTCAGACAGAGCTCAACGTAAAGGTCCCTTTCCGCTGGCTTACGTGCAGCCATTAGCAGGTTGTTGAGAACGTCGAGCAGCATTTCCAGCAGTGGCAAGATCTGCTTGTAGAGCTGTTCAAACTTGCCGCCTCCTATGCTCCTGAAAAGTGCACGAAGAAGGAGGAAGTAGTTGATAGGCTCCTCTGCCTTGGTCGAGAGCTCAATCGACTTGGTAACGATATTGACCACATGGGGGAGGAGAACCTGCTCATTTTGACCGGCAAATAGAGTCACAGCCATAAAGGCCAGCTTAAAAAGACGGATCAAAATGGATGCCTTCTTGACATCGGCCGAACCAACCTCGTCGATTCGATCCATGAGAAACTGCAATAGCATGCCACAAAAACTGGGCGACGTCGCTTCGCTGGCTAAGAAAAACTGGGGTATATGTAGCAGCGCGGTATGCTCAAAGATCATGTCGTAGAGGTGTGGAATTTCTTGCTGGAAGACTTCATGGAAGGTAGCCGGGTCAATGCAGTGAAAGACCGTGGCAAATGTCTCTAGAAGGTCCTTCTCCTCTTTCGAGCTCGATATCATGTAGAAATTCGCCATTTGCTCGACAGGTGAAGAGTACTGCGATTCAGTCGCCGGCTTCTCTATTTCATAGTATCGAAATACGTAGGCTCCTTCACGGAAGAGTTTGACTATTACGTTGACCTCTTCCGCAGTAAAGCCATAGGCTACTTCTTGCCAGTGTGAAGGCGCGTTTGCCGGATCAATCGGTGTTCCCACATTGCAGGTTCGCAGCTGATAAAACGTGTTCTTGAGCCCATTCATAAGGTTTTTGAAAAGAAACTTGTTATCAACGACCGGGTCGGAGCCTCTGTCGCGTGGGTGCGAAGTCTTGATCGGCATAGCAGAGAATATGTCAATCTCGTCCCAGTCAGGTGGACTCTCTTTGTCCGCGAGATACGTCTCCGACGCACTGCTCTCCTGCTGCTGGTGATAAATTTTCGAAAGCTTAACGGCATTGGGGTACTGGCGGTTCATGGAAGCAAACTTGTCCCCAATGGCGTTGAGGATCATCATGAGATAGTGACGGGCATCAACCTTATTAGGCAGCTTCGCGATGCACTCTGCCATGTTAAGTAGAAGCTTCGCACTCATGGTCTGGAAGCTGGTCCCAGGAAACGGGTCCTGCAGATTCTTGGTGTAGACTTCTACCGTCTTGCGTATCTGCTCTGGGCTCAGGGAGTCTCGCACGTGGTGTATTAGATCCGCGAGCATGCTATAGGCCAGGGGCCTCATCGTCTCGTATACTGTCAATCCATCGCCAGTCAATGTGCGCTCATCGAGGAGCTCGTCGATTTTAGGTAGGAAGATTTTCCGGCAATTGTAGTTAATAATGTGTCGAATTGCAATCAGAAGCTCCTTGCGCGTGCCGGACTTCTCCTTAGGACAGTCCTTAAGCAGTCGCACGACGATGTCGGGCAGGCTCGGCAGAAAATCTGTGAGTTGTGATGAGTGTTGTCTGAGCAAGTAGGCCAAGAAGCTCATCGTTTTGACTTGAGCAGTGATAAAATCGCCAAATGCCGCCCGATTCTTTATGAGAGGACTGACACCAGTGTGAATCTTGCCTTTGGCGGCGGCATCTGCGTGCGCTTGCTTTTGCGCGCTAGCCTGAAGCTGCAGTGCTGACTTGATGAGGGGTACAAAAGCCCGGACATTTTGCTGAACGGTATTACGGTACACCTGAAATATAGACACCACTATGATTGGACACTCTGACAAGACTTTGAAGGACTGCATCCCTTTCAAAAGAGGGCGATTCTGCTGTTGGGGGTCGGCCCCGAGCTCGGTGACTGATGCAACGGGCGATGCTGGTCGAGGTGACTGGAAATTCTGTGAGCCGCCGGGCGTGGATGGCGCGCCCCCAACCGCTAAAGGAGGGGAGGCTGCATTGTCTAGCTGTTCGCGCACTACCTTGTCCATTTGCTCGAAAAGCTCCTGGATCAACGACAGGAACTGCTGGACCTTGCCCTGCAGTACTTTGTGCTGATGGCGCATAATGTCGGATGTGATTTTGACGCATAATGTGGCATTGTCCTCGTTGTCGGTACGCACTAGCTGCATGAGAAGATCCACGACTTCAATGGCATAGGGCTCGAGAGGCTCGGCGGGCGAGGGCGCGCTGGGCAATCTGTGAAGAACTTCCAGAATACAGTTCCGTAGTTTCTGCGCACATGTTAGCTTGTCGGCGGATTGAGAGATGACGATGCGCTGCCACAAACCTGATCTGGTGAGTTGCTCTGGAAGATGCATGGTCCACGCAAGATGTTCACGAAGATGGGCATCAACCTCTTCAGGAATGGAGGGTATATGGGACCAGTTGTGTAGTGGTCTAAGGAGTCGCGCAACGTGGTAGCGGCCTCTACTTTGGATTTGGTATCTGTGAAACAAGAAAGTAAGCGTTTGTTGACCCAATTACGCTTGCGCCTTGCACGCTGCAAGCCACTGCGACAACGGTGTTGTTCATACCTATGTCGGCGCTACTGAGTCGCTTTACGACATCATCAATCGTTGTCCCCGACATTTCTGCATTATAAGCGCCCCTAAGACGCGAGAAACGCTCTCATTAATGGGTGCAATGCTCGGGAAGGACGTCGAGGGCGGCTCTGCGCAGCCGTCCGGGTGGGGGGTTAGCTCAGAGCTTCTAAGCTGTTGTATCGTGCGATGCGATTCGATATTATTCGTTTTCGTAATCGTTATATCCTCAAGAAGTTTGGGCTGCACAACAACAGTTTGAAGTAGCGGTAGAAGGCGTATTGGTGGTGTTTGCGCGAAAGAAAGGCCTCTGATAGGTGATGTTCATGGGATATGTAAAAGAGTCGTGGAAATGCTAGGCGCGTAGAAAACTAGTGAGAGTCGAGAGTGCTGGGGACTCCTGCCGCCAAAACTAACTGCGCTAGGGGTTGCAGGAATAATAATCCGACACTAAAGAAGGACACACCCTCGCGTCGGGGGTAAATCTAGTAATCTGCGGGATGATAAGCCACGAGCTTCTCTATCGATAAGGCAGAGTCGCCCTTATCACTTACACTGACCAAGGACAGGCAGCGGTCGAGTTTTATTTCAATATAAATTTTCCACGTATACATATTTGTTTTGTCAGAGCGTTCTCATCGACTTGCTTTTCGCTCCGACACATGGCCCCAAATAGCCGGTATCGTGTGTACCTTCGTGCAGCGCCACGCGATCGCATGCCTGAATGTGCCATCGGTTCAAAGCGGACGCCGAAGTACAGTGCGACAACTTGCGAGTCCCCCAAAGCGGAGAGTTCAGGGACTGACCTTCGTATACCATATGATATTTTGGCCTCAAATAGAGTGTAATACGGGGTATTCCCATCGAAAGATTCCACAGTCGGCAATATGTAGCATTGGCTGTCGAGCTGGAACAGAATTTGTGTTCAATCTCCATGATATCTCTTTCATAAGCTAAAAGACAAAGTTACATATATTCAGTCATCACTCTTTATATATTTTTAAGAGAAAAATTCAGAAGACCTTTGACGATGCTCTGCAAAGGAACTGTGAAAGGTCGAGACTGTTCGTTGGTCGAGTCCCTGCTCCTTGGGGCCATGAAACGGTCTAATGGGTAGAAGAGTATGTACGAAATTTGGCTCTACAGATGTCTCTATAGAAAGGCTTAGCACTCTCGAGAAGGTAAGGTTGAGGATTGTTGAAAATTGTCAACAGTCGTTCTCAATCAATTTCACTGCTGCGTCGCCGAGCTCATCAACCGATGAATTGCTCCGTATCGCTTCCACTGAAAAGTCTGCGACACTATAACTACCACCCTCCAGGCAATGTGTAGCCATCACAACAGCTGGCCTTGCACCGCACATCATCGGCCATGTTGGATCTCACGTCACAAGCACGCAAGGCAGCGCGATCGCATCGGGGAACTAGCGATTAAGCAAGACAGCGCTGGGCCCGCATCAGGGCCGCCCGGGCTTGGCTCTTTCAAGTCCAACAATAGTCATGCGCGGACAGTAGAGATTGATATCCGGCAGACACAAAAATTAATCAGTTAGCAAAGATGTGATTGTTATGGTTTATTCAGACAATCGATTATGCATTGCCAGGCCGCCATATTACACACAAGAAAACCAACTTGAAGTTAATGAATGAACGACCGCAGCACGGCCCTGTGTTTGTGTTCGCTACATGTAATTGGTATCATAAAAGTCATGTCTCATTTCTCGGGCCCCAGCTTTGGTTCCTTTTCTTTTTCTCCCTCGTCTTTTGTCTTTGTTTTATTATCTCTGCGGATTCCCTTCGACGCTCACTACTCGGGGCTTGGACCATCGTCGGCCGTCTTCAGTAGACTGCGCAGGCTACCAACGGCGCGGCCCTGTTGCGTCGCGGCGACGTCGGTCGGAGTACCGCTGCTCCACGGGATCCAGCCTGCGAGCGTCGAGAGAAGAAGACCCGTCGCCGTAGCGCCGTCGACTAGCGATACGGGCCCTCTGGCGGCGGGACGGGGCAGCGGGTTGCTGCTTTTGTCTGCTACGGAGTGATGGGTGTGCGAGTGGCCGCGCGATGCGGCGGAGACCATGTCTGTCACCGTGGCCATGTTGGCGGCCGAGGTGGCAGTATGGACCTCGAGCTGGCTAGTGCATGGCTGAGGTCGCGCAGGTTCACCTACAAGAGTGACGGCGGGTGCGCTGTGCGGCGCACATATGTCACTGTCGGCGTATGGGTTTGTTGTCGTCTTGTTTGTGCCGTCAATGAGCGCAAGAGATGACGAAAGTGTGTGCTTGATGGCAGGTCGTTGCTTGCAAGAATCTTGTGGAGGGCGCCCTTGTCGTGCACTGGTTGTTGAACCAGTAGGCGATGTGTGATGAGAAGTCTTGGTAGAGACTCGCCCGCGTACGTCGTCGGCAATCTCCGCCGCTGACTCCTTCTTTGAGTGGTCTTCGTCGGACGAACGGCTGGAAGACATGATGGTCTCGAGTGTACCCATCGCTCGACTGTTCCTACGACCGCCTAATCGTCGCTTTCGCTCCGTCTTTGTGTTCGTCTCATCGTCCGACGTAACTGCTTGTAGCGTCGGTCCGTGGTTTTCGGGTCCTTGCTGACCCCCTACGATGAATTTGGTGCCGGGGCCGTGCGGCCCATAGTGCACTTCATATTGGTTGCTCAAAGAGTAACGTGACCGGGCACATATCTCGGCGATCCTGTCGAGATCCGCATTGATGTCGTTGCTCGTGGCTGTCGTCTCCTGTTGGTCGAGATTTTCAAGAAAACTTTTGAATGAGAAAGCTTCGATAGGTGGCAACTTGGCGTCTTCTGGGTGCGAGCGGTTGGCGAACGGCGGGTTCTGGCCTCGCGCCCGAGCCATGATGTTGAGCATGCCACTGCTGGCAGAGGCCATCTTACCAGCAAGCGGGGATGTCCGTGTTCTTGAAGCAACAGACCCTGTTACGGAGCCTGATGTGCTGTGACCGTTGCGGACGACGACTATTCCCGCGGGATTGCTACTGCTGCTTGCACGAGGCATGCGGTTCGTCTTGTTGGGTGTCGGTCGGTAGTAGCTACGAACAATAACTGGCTCAGAGTAGGTGGTGTTCTCGGCGCCGGTGGATTTGGCATACCGATGGCGGCTCGGGTAGTGGCTGTTCAGCTCACGCAAGGCTTCAGTGCGGTTTTCGACGGTGCTATCATCCACTGGGATGGGGCGACCCTCTGCGACAGAGGCCACCAAGCTGGCCGAGGTCGAATTGTTGTGCAACGGGAGCTTGATGCGGAGTGGCAAGGGATTGTGGTTGTGGCTATGATGAAGCTGCTGTGTGTTGCCGTCTGTGCAAGAGGAGATTCCATGTCTCGGGCACTGCTGTGGGTGAGGCGATTGATATGTGCGGCGTGAGGCGGACGGCGAGGCCGGCTTTGGGGTCGGCGACGGCATGGAAAAATGGCGAGGGGTTTTGACGGAGGTTAGAAGGAGGGACCAGCCGATAGCGCGTATCTCAAGACAGGGCCGAATCGTAGCAATTTTGCAAAGACGGGATGTGCGATGTACATCAAGACTCCGCTGGTTTGTGAGGCCAAATGAAACGTTGAATGAAGTTGCGGTTGAAAGCGTCGCAGTTGACTAGTGAGGGGATGCGACATGTCGAGTCACGGCTAGTGAGACGGCATGCTGTCTGTATCAAGGCGAAGACGCCGCGAGAGGATTTCTCATCAATGCATCGAGCAAAGTATATCAATCAGGGGGTAACTGGTGACGAGGTCTGTCGAGATTGAGAAGGGCGAGGTTGCGTGTGAGGAGGAAGATTGGCGCGGGCAGCCGAAATGGCGGGGGGTGTCACAATATCTACCCGGTTCCGATGGCGCAAAGCAAGTGACTACCTTGGTTGATACCAAGGTACACCGTGAGTAGCACTAGACACGGCGCCAGCGCAGAGGCAATCTGCTAAGGTAGCAATGAATTATATTTATAATACAGGCAACTTGATCAGACAGGGAAAAAAATAGACCGGAGGTGGAGGGAGGCTGCTACTTAAATTCGTAGCATCCAACATAAGCCGTGGTGGGACAGAGTATGCACCGTGTACCGTACTACACATTATAGGCAGAAGCGCAATTTCATATCTGCTGGTCGCAGCGCGGAGTATTTATGACCCTGGATACTGTTGATGTGAAATGGAAAGCATGAGCAAATGATTTGTCCTAACTTTGAAATGGCACAAAGTCTGAGGCCATCTCCATACCTGGTCTATAGGTGCCAATGCGTTGAATTGCCCCCACCTACCCGTCCAGCCACCAACTCAGCCATCTGCATGATGTGTGCAGATGCACTGTTCAGTGAGTCCCAAGTCGACAGAATAGTAGGAACGAAGAAAAATACAGGACGGTGCCCTTGGGCCGCTTGACGTGGTCAATCACGCATGGACGCCCCTCGTCGAGATGCGTTGGCGACGGCGACATGATAGGTCGAAATTCTCACTCAGTCCGCCCCCGCCTCTCCATGCAGCGACAGTGTCTGGCTCTGGGATGCTGCTGGCCACTCATCCTCTTACCAAGGTATTCAATGCAGAGTCAAGCGTTGACCAGATGAAGAATGCCAGACGCCTCGAAACAAGTCAATTGCTATCCCTTTGTGTTTATGATAACTCTCAATGTGAATAATTGCACAAAGAAAGTTGTGCGCCGTACCAGTACTTCATCACACACCTGAGCCAGCCAGCCAACCAAGCATACCAAGCACCTAACGCAGCCCACTTCAGCGAAGCACCGAGTATCACGCATCAGCCCACCGATCATCTCGGCGCTAGCCACCTCAGAGGCTGTACAGCATAACTATGTAGGTGCAGCAGGGTTGTATTGTTTAGTAACAGAGGCGACAAAACCCAGGTATCTCCGACATAACATCATAAATTGATACATCCAAAAACGATCTTGGTAATCTGGTGGTCATGGATACCAAGTGTTATTCTTCACGCAACTAGCAATGACGCCGACTAAAAACTTGCAGGCACAAAAGGGACGAAGCCGTGACAGGCTTCACAAGAAGAGTTCCATTCCCCACACCATCCCTTTTTTGGACACCTGTCTCACCAGGTAGCTTTCATGATCGCGCAGTTGTCCCTGCTGTCGTCAATTGATACCATTGTGTGTTCAAAGAGGGTTTTCCCCTATGTTTGGTGCACAATGGTGCCATAGCCCTGGCCGCCGGTCTGCACGTTGTCCGAGTACACACCTGGCGCCGGCCTGGCAGGGTAGCGGCCCTCGTGTGCCTGCTCCCGGCGATCAAAGTAGATGTACTCGAGGTAAAAGGCGTGCAGGTGGCCCGGGATGTATCCGAGAAGGGTCAGACAGATGTTGATAAACAAGTCTGTTCCGTCGGCGCGAGGTCGCCTTGTCAGCAGATGAGGGAAAGAAAAGGGCATGGATTGAATGTTGTTCGGCTCGCGAATGGATTATTGGACTTACCCATGCCACATCCTGCGACTGCCCAGACTCCCGCGGGAGGGACTGTGAGGAAGAAAATGTTAACAGCTGGGCGGCAGTGACTTGCTCCGGCATGGGAAGCGCTCACATAGAATCGTAATCACGACAATGATGAGTGCCGAGGCGACGCCCATGATGGCGGTAAAATGCTGAAACGCTGGGGGGGTCGGATAGCTGTGTGCAGTGTGCGTCAGTAGAAGAGTTGTCAAATGTTCGGATAGTTTATCCGCAGACGAAGCGCCACGGACACATACTTTATTTAGCAGGTTCGAGAAGCGAGCGAGTGTGAGCTCACGCAGCGATGGTATAGGTGCGATAGAGAATTATTTGCGATGAGAGCGTTGCGAAAGTAAAGAGCGGCGGACTACGTTGGTGATGTCGTCAGCAGGTTTGGCTGAACCTCGCAAAGTGGGGTGGGTAGCCTTGTTAAACTGGAAATCGCCAACTTGGAAAGCTAATAAAGCACCCATAACGGTACCCCGTCACTGTCAAACCCGTATCTAAAACCGGCATGTCAACAACACTCGATTGTGGCAAAAAAGTAGAAATAGTAGGGGCTGGAAAGCAGCAACAGTCACCCACCCGACGTTATTATTTTACCAACACGTGCAAGAAGAGACAGCTAGCAGCGCGAGATGGACACAACCATTATAATTGCGCTTTCAACTCGGCAGTCGGCACTGACGTCAAGTGGAGCTCGCCATCAGCCCAACTCATGATATGACTATGGTTCCTGAAAAGTACAGAGCAATCCGAAGCTATGTCGGAAAGGGCTTCTAAAAGAGTAAACAGAACTTCAGTTTGTATTCCATCATGTAAATTCACAAACATTTCGAATTGACTCTCAGGTAGAAAGCCGCAAGCCACCGCCTACCCGTCAGTCATCCGAAGCCGGAACACACGAGGGAAACGTATCCTCACTTTGGGAAGCCTAAGTTTGTACCTCCATAGCATGAATATCAGCTTCCGTTAGCCCGCTAGTACGTGACATACAAGCATCGATCGTGGAATCTGTCTCGATGTCGAACCGATAAGGTCAACTTTTCTACAGTCGGGGTTTTCCGATCATGAACGAAGGAGTCAAACGAGCGTGCCGAGATGCTGGTGATGGCTGACCTCTGTTCGTCCCTTTCGCCGCTCTGCAGCGGGTGAGAAAGTATGCAAATGATGCCGCGCCATCTGAAAGCCCCTATGCAGTCGGCTACATTGTCTCGCCGTCCATGTGTTGGTCTCGTGCCGACAATTGATTGCAAATCCGAGCTTGCCCAGATGTGGTTCCTGATATCGCGGCTTAGCTTCCTGGCATCCAACATACGATACAAGCAGCTGCAACATGTGTCGGTAGTAACTATGATGCCACTGAGGCCGTCTCATCAAGGCCGTTTCATGTTTCTGCAGGAAGCGACCAACTTACTATGCACTCTGAACATGACAAGGCTTCTCCCGAACCCGCCCATCCACGTAAATAGGAACACTGCCCTGTTTCTTTTTTTTCTTACTGACCAGATACTGAGCAGGCGTATTGTTCTCGGTTGTCCGGTATACTCGCTTGTGGCAACTTGAATCCACCAGCTCGTCATTGGAACAGAGGACTATCGATAGTCATTGGCCAGCGGCGCTCTGTCGTCACACTAAAAAACCGGCGAAAGTCATTGGAAGAATTGGTCTCAAGCGGGAGATCATCCAAAATCGGCGAGTCAAGCTGACCAGATGCATGGCAAGCTCGCTGCCAGGGTCATGTGCCGTTTGAGTTATAAATGTGCTGCTAAAAGGACCGCGTCTTGGCTACACGCCATTTAGATCGGGACAAGCCTAAGACAGGGGACAAATGGACTGGAGGAAAAGGGGACAAGTCCGAACACCTATTGCTAGCTACTAAGTAGCCTGCCACCTGCTTTGTGCACGATACCTCATGCCTACCGTCTTCCCTCGTGCCTCGGTAGTGTGGTGCAGCAAGGGCATATAGGGAGGCATGGGAGGCTGTAACTAGACCCTGCGCCGAGATTTGCCGTGGTGATCATAGACTTTCAGCGCAAAGCCAAACAGTATGATTCTCTTCGAAGACCAAATCAGTTCAAGAGTGGCCAAAGACTGACTCTGCCACAATCGGGGGAGACAGGCCTTGTCATTGGCAGGAGCAGCCGTGAGGCAATGGCTGTGTGGCGCATGGCGACGGTTCCGCCAGTCAGCGGCGTGCGGCCCGCAAGGCGACAATGCATTGGTTCGGTAGATATACGATGGCATCATAGATCAGCACCAGCTGATTATTCATTGACAAGTACGGATATAATAAACCAAATAGTTAGATGGACCGGATATTGATTCGGCTTCGGGCTCCCCCGCGTTTTATTGTTAACGGGCGAAAACGTGCCGGTACTGGGGCTGAAGGCGGAGAGGTACATGTGTAAAGAGTCTAACATGCCGAAAGGGTTGCGCGCTCGTTGGGTCAATTCAACGTATGCAGCCGCCAGGTAGTGCATAGCCGTTTGCGTACAAAGTGACGGGATGGATGGCTTTGTACATGACGACAGGTACCGAGAGGATCACGAGAGTTGCGGAGATGTGATTGCAACCTATTGTTCCAAATGGAAGCAATGAAGGAGCTCACTCAATGGTAATACCGAGCGATGCGCCGGTTTCACGAGCCAATACTGGGCTGGGACCGTCGAGGCTGTGGCCACAGTGGTGTTGAGACGACAAGCGTGGAGTGGACACGGAGCAGCGGGAAATCGTTTGATTGCGCAGCGTATGATTTCACTATGATGGAGTTTCCCGGGTCATACAATTCGTCGCCCTGCTGCTGCAGGCTCGCAGACTGGGCTTGTCACAAGGCAATCATTGGTTTGGAATGGAGTGGCGACAAGACGGTGGTGATAACATTATTCGCAGCCGACGGCGAGGAGGGGTTTTGTTTTCTTTTTTCATCTTTTCAAGATGTGAAAGGAGAGAAAAGGAAATAAAGCAACGGGAAGAAAACGACCTCGCAGCTAGCGGATGCCGCTAACCGCCAGCCGGGAGCGCGGCCCACTTCAACCATTGTGCCTGAGCTGGCTTGGGCTGGCGACGCCCGTCCCGTTACGGTCCCCTGAATTTGGTACCTACCTAGGCAACAGGTACCTACACACTAATAAACAGGTAGGTACTTTTTTTTTGGCATGGTAACGAAGTGCAGACTCGTCTTTTTGCTTATTCCTTTCTATGCCATCAATGGACGTTGCTTTTTGTCTCGCACCGATTTTGCATCGTCACTGTTATTTCCCTGAAATGATGCTTCTCAAATGGCCAGTCCCGTCTGCTTCTTCTCTCCCCGTCGGCGCAGCTGGCGGCCCTCACAACGAAAGCTGTGTGTCGTTTGCAATGAGGTGGCTTTCCTTTCAGAATCAGACCGGCAGTATGCTCCTACCTAGGTATTTAGGTAGCCAGTCATTTTTTCCTTTCTCAACTTTTCTGTTTTCCCAGGTATATAATAGAGTAGCGGCATGGCCCGACATTGGCATCCGGTTGGCCACGACTCGATGCATCACGCTGCACGCTATTTTACTGTACGTGTCGAAGTGCCTATTTGCTACCTGCCTATTGCTTGGTATTTGTCTACCCAATACCCTCATACCTTTGACCTATCGTAGACATTTATGAATTTTGAACATATTGCCAGACAGTGACCCTCTACCTATCTATTTAGGTTCTATTTGGGATTGCTCTTTACTACCTCACTACTCTATCAAGTATAGGTACTTAAGTCCATCAGCAGCCCTGCTGCTTGGCCAAGTACACCTACTTACCTGCCAAGTTGGCTCTACCTCTGGACCACAACTACCTCACACCACCAGCGGCCTTTTCCAAAATTTCAAAGCCACCCATCTTTCTATTTACTGCCTCGCACACTCCCGCCATCCCATCCTCTCCTTTCAAGAGCTCACCCTCCCTTTGGCCCCATTGTCCGTCTCGGCAGTGTGGGATTGTTTGCGCATTCTGCCCGATTGTCGCCTATCCTTACGGAGAAACCGTTTCCAACACCCTTTCATCCTGTGCTCACTTTTCACCTACTTCCCCCTGCACATCTTGCCGCCCCCCACTGACTACCTGGCTTGTCGTTTGACGAAAGCTTTCTTCACGCTTGCTTCTACATTCTGCCTCCTTCAACAACGCCTCCTTTTCGACCTTCGGCTGCGACCTGAATCCGCCCCCTCGCCGCCTCTTTGAGCCTGGCCCGTCTCCCCTCAGCCCCTACTCGCATTCCCACATTCCCAAATCGGCCGACGTTGAGCTTTTTTCCCCGGGACCGCGCCTGATTCTTCCCGACGCGACGGCCTCGCTCTCTTGCCTCGCCCAATCTCCACCTTTTGCTCACGAGTCCCGAGCCTCCCCTAGACAAAAAAAAATGTCTTCGCAACAGAGCTCGCAATTTAGCGTCGAGCGCTACGTCGTCATTCACGTTGCTACCACTTGCGATGAGCACGGCGTCTATGTTACAAAGGACTCGGCCGAGGTCATTGAGCTCGGCTGGATTCTGCTTGATGCCAACACTCTCGAAGAGGCATGTCCACCAACTACTCCCGCATTGCATCTCTTTGGACTCGATTCTAACCACTGCTCAATATCAGATTACACACGAAAGTGTCCTCGTTAAGCCCGTCAACACTCCTATCACGCCTCTGTGCAGTACGTATTCATTCATTTCGTGTCCCATCCCCTCTTTCAACACGTCAAATCATCTTCGACTCGGCCGCCTCGGATCCTGGCCACCTCACACCCCTGCTAACATCTTTACTTTTCAGCGAGCCTGACCACCCTCACCTGGGAGCACGTCCGAAACGCGGGAACCTTTAGAGACGCCATTTCTCGATTCGACGCCTTTGCTACCGAGTACCTGACCTCCAAGAACCTCGACTTTGCCTTCGTCACCCTCGATGCATGGGACCTCCGGGTGCAGCTTCCCCGTGAAGCTCGCGACAAGGCTGTCGTCCTACCCCCCTATCTGCAGCACTCCCGAACTTTCGATCTCCGCACTGAATATCAACGTTGGCAGCAACATCACCCCGAGTCTCTACCCTTCGGCCCCTCGATGCTCTCCAACATTTGTGCCGCTCTCGAGGTCGAGCCTGTTCAGTCCAGCGCCCCCATTAAACATAACCTTCCCTTTCATCTGCAGGCTTTGGCCCCTGCCTCGCCTCGCCGTGCCATGGAGGAGGCTATCACCCTCGCTCGAGTTCTTCGCGGCCTCATTCGCAAGTCTCAGCCCCCCCAGGAGCACCCCGACGTTCTGACTCGCCCAATGGACGCCAGAGCCGATGTTCGTGCCTTTCTTTCCGAGAGAAGCAAAGTTCTTCACATGTCTGGCTTGCCCCACGATACCACCCAGTCCGAGCTCGAGAGCTGGTTCACCCAGTTCGGAGGCCGTCCCATTGCATTCTGGACTCTTCGAACTCCTGAGCAGCACAAGCCTACCGGCACCGGTTTTGCCGTTTTCTCGTCCCACGAGGAGGTACGTTGTTCCCTTGCCATCACCAGCAGTCGTGTCACGATCTTCACCTACTAACAATATCGAAGGCTGCTGAAAGTCTATGCATGAACGGTAGAGCTCTCAACGAAAAGGCCATCGAGGTTTCCCCGTCCTCTAGCAGAGTCCTCGACCGCGCTCAAGATATTCTTACACCCTTTCCTCCCAGCAAGAACCGTCCTCGCCCCGGTGACTGGACATGCCCCTCCTGCGGCTTTTCCAACTTCCAGCGCCGAACCGCCTGCTTTCGCTGCTCCTTCCCTGCTGCAGGCTCTGGCCCAGCTGGCGACAATTTTAGCTATGGCGGCAATGCCGGTGGCGGCGGCTACGGCCCTCCTCAGATCATGCCTCCTCCACACCATGGCGGTCATGGCCACATGGGTCACGGTGGGCGCATGGGTGGTGGCGGTGGTGGCGGTGTTGTTCCTTTCCGTGCCGGTGACTGGAAGTGCGGCAACGAAGTCTGCGGCTACCACAACTTTGCCAAGAATGTGTGCTGTCTTCGCTGTGGAGCCAGTCGTGCCAGTGCTGCTGTTGTGGCCGATTCGGGTTATCCCTCTCCCATGGATAACTCGTCTCAGTACAACATGGGTCAAGGCTCCATGGGAGGCACTCCTGGACCAGGCCCTTTTAACTCGGGCAATGCCTTCAATTCCGGTGCTGGCTACAATCAGCACTTTGCCGGCCCGCCGAGCCACTTCCTTCCCTCCGGCTTGGCTGGTGGTGCTGGTGGTTACCCCGGCTCCATGAACAATCAGGCGTTTGGCCCAGCCCCGGGCTCCCACGGTGCTGGTCCTTTCGATAGCCGCGCTGCCGAGGCTGCCTTCCAGTCGGCTACAAACGGTCCCGCATCCGGAGCAGGCCCTGCCCACAACAACTTTTACAGCAGCGGCCCTGTTGGCACTGAGAACAACCCCTTTGCGTTCCTCTCCAGCGGTATGAGCGGCCTCTCCGTCAGTGCGAATGACGGCCGCCAAAACGGCGGTGCTGCTCCCCCGAGCAAATCGGCTGCCTAGAGATTGGCGGGCAGTGCTTGGACCGTGGAGCTTAGTGATGATGGATAACCCCTCAAGCTTTCACCCGTGGTCATGTAGAAGTGGACAAGAACAGAGTGGCAGACACTTTTGTACATTTATTCGCGTGTCATGTCCTTTTCCGAATGATGGACGTGTTGCACCGCCTAGGCCTCGGCCATGGAATTTTCCCTGCGGACTTTGCTTCTTGATTTGAGGAAAAGGGGTCAGGTGTGTATCGGATTTGTTGTTATTTTCTCTTTTTATTTTGGGAGGGCTTCGGACGGAGTGTCGGACACTATTTCAGGCGGGATGTGGTTTAAAATCTGTGTTGTTTCTTTGTTTTTTTGCGAGAGGCTGGAAGACAAAAGTGACTATACCACGGCTGTTATGGGTTGATCAGGTCTGGAAAGAAGAATCTACAGACTTTCAATTTTGCTAGGGAAAGAAAGAAAGGAAGGGAATTTACTTGGCCTCGATTTTCTGCACAACAAAGACAAAAGAGCGGGGATGGATTCGCGTCGTTTTACAAACAACAACACATACACTGGACTTGGACCTGGTTTCTGGACTGTACTGAAACCTTTTTTTGTTGGGAGACTTGACTTTTGGCTGTCAAGAAATTGTGTGCGTTGTCTACGCACCTGCAGAGCAAAGACGCAACAAGGAAGGGGGGCAGAAAGAGCAAAGAATTGTTCCTGGATGGATGCATAGCGAAAGGGTGCGTTACATGGTGTATCTTGGTCTTGCATGAACTAGATACCATCTTTTGGTCTAGATTCTTCTGCAAGGGGTTTGGTTTTTTTTTTTTATTAAATCCAGTCACGGCAGGGGCATTGTCCAACTACTTACTATTCTTTCCTTTTTTCATAAGTCATCTTGCTATATTCCTGTCGTCATCATATTCATCTGTCATCTATCTACGGACATTGGTATTGATCGTGGCCCCAGCTTTCTCGCGTAGTCTATTGCGTACTCTTTACTCTGAGGAGCTTTACTTGGACGCGTACGTCTGGTTTTAAGCAAAGTCGGCCGGCCCTAGCTTACATCTCGTCGCCCGACACGTCATAGTCACTCGACGCCTCGCTTCCTTCCCACGCAAGACTCTCCGCCGCCTCCGACATGGTATCCTCGGCCCTTCGTTCTGGCTGCTGCTGCTGCTGCTGCTGCTGCTGACGCAGCCAAAGACCCCAGTCCCACGCCGGGGCGAGCTCCGCGTCGTGGTAAGACTGCCAGGCCTCGGCCCTCAGTGCCGCCTCGCCGCTGACGTCGGGTGACAGCCCGCTCATGAGCACGTCTGTGACGAAGCCGACCCAGCCGTCCGGGTCATCCACGGCCGGCACGACAACAGTATCGTCGGCGGGTGGCAAAATGTATCCGCGCGTCATTTCATCCTCTAGTGAGCACGGCAGGCCCTCATCGTCGTCGCCGTTGCCGCCGTCGCCGCGATCATCATCCTCATCCTCATCCTCGCTCGCGGAATCGTAGTCGTCCGTGTCGCCGCACCATGCCATGGCGCGCAGCCGCTCGTCTTCGTCCTGGTCGAGGATGTGCCGGCGTTCGGCGGGTGCGAGCTGCCGGAAGCGCTTCTTGCGGGCGTGCCGCGGACGCCAGTGGCCGCTGGTGTCGGCGCCCGCCAGCACCGTCTCGTCGGCCAGCCGCAGCTCGTCCTCGGACGGCACCAGATTCTCGCCCGTGTCCCAGTCCATGTAGCCCCACATCATCATGCCGAGAAGATGTGCGTCCAGCTCCAGGCCCCGTGCTACGGCCTCGACCGGCACCAGCTCATCCGGCCGCGCGAGGTGCCGCGTCGACCGAGCGGTGCCGCTGCCGCCGCCGCCGAGGCGTCCCCAGCCTTCGAGATGCGTGCGGCCAATCTCGGCGTAGGGCACCCCGTGGATGCTTTCCCCGAAGAACTCGGCGCTCCAGTGCTGCTGATTCTGCGCATCGCCGCCGTCGCGGTGCGCGCCGCGTGGGTATGACGGCGAGGTCGCCGCCGGAAAGTCGTAGCGCACCTTGAGCGCCAGCACCTCGCTGAGCCGCGTGAAGCGCCTTCGCGCGAGCAACTGCCACAGCGGGTACAGACCCTTTTGCCCCATCATCAGGTGCAGCAGCTCGTACGTATTCGGCCCGTACACGGGGTCGTTGAAGTGCATGCCGAGCTTGACAAAGAGCAGCTGCGCGTTGTAGAGGTCCGTGTCGGCCCAGACGTCGCGATTGCGCAGCAGCGCCGCGCGCTGCTCGCTTGTCGGCACCTCGAGGCATAGCCACAGCCTCAGTAGGGTCGCATGCATCGAGCGCGGCGTGCGGTGCCCGTGACGCGCCAGGATCGCGCGCATGTCTCGACAGCATCGGTCGCGCCCAACGACGAGCTGCAGATATTTGAGACCCGGGACGGCGCGGACCTCCTGCGCCTTAGCTGCATCGACGGCGCCGTTGCGCCGGGCTCCGCTGCTGGTGCTGCTTTCCTCCTTCTCATCAGTGATAGTGGTGTCGTACTGATAGTCCCAAGTGCGACCGGACGGATCGGCCACGAGGACGCGCTTGTACAGGCGAAAGTCAAAGACATGCCCGGCCTCGGGCGCCTGGTGGGCAATCCAGGCGCGGACGCTGGCCGACATGTAACGGTCGACGGCGTCGTGAAAGGCACGACTCGTGCTGTACAGCGCTACAATGTCGCGCGGGCACAGGTGCTTGCCAATCTCTACGGCGAGCTCCGTGCTGTGGCACAGCAGCGCGAGACCGTCTCTCCGTGCAGCGGTAGCAGCAGGAGCAGCATCTTGCTCCGGCGTTTCAGCGGCCTGGGGGGGTGGCGTCTCGAGGTACGGATCCCGGCCGTCAAAGTACCGCTGCATGTCCTCGTCCGTGAACTGAAACCGCTTAATGTGGTTGCCGTCGACAGCATATTCGATGTGCCGGATAGTAGGTTTTGGCTCGTCTGCCGGTCGGCCGAAGCTGTCTGGCGAAACGGCGTCCGGATTCCACGAGTCTGGGGTGGAAGGGTTCATGGCGGCAATAGGATGGCTGAAGCTCTGGTGTTATCTACTAACGCCGTGAAAGTGTCTTGCGTGTGAAACTAACCAAAAAAAAAAAAAAAGAAACGAGTTAAACAAGGGCACTTTTCATGTACCAGGCCAAGAGGTAGGTGCCGACTGAGTCTGTTTGCCTAGGTATTGCACGTGAGCTGTGGTGATGACCAAGTGAACGCGCACGCAAACGGATTGGACGCGGGCATATCATGGATGCGGCACAAAGTAACAAGTGAAATACTTTTCATTAGAACAGAGATACGAAAAAACAGAGCAAAAACACTTGTGCTCGAATGGGCGCCATAGACGCAGCGTGGTATCGCAACCAAAACCCAGCCGCAGGAAGTGAAATTCAAACTCCGTCGTCTATAAGGTTCCATAAACGTCAGAGATCTTTCACCTTCTCATTCCGAGAAGGTTGAAGAATCCTCACTAGTGTTCATGACAAATGAAGAATCCTCGCCAGTATCCATAACTGAAGAATCCTCCCTAGTGTCGACCGGCTTCTATTGGTCAAGCTCGTCCACGGGCAATTCGCCATCATCCTTGCCCACTATGGCATCGGCAACCTTCCATATCTGCAGAAGGTTATCTTCGGCGGCGCTTGCCACCAGCCAAGGCTCATTGAGGTTCCAGCTAAAATCAGCAAGGTGATTTGTATGGCCGCCATGCATGAAAAGCCTACAAAGTTGATGTTAGCGATAGAAGCCTTAATCGAAGTGACAATACTCACAGTTCTGGAGGACCATCCTCTTGATCATCAGGGAGCTGTTCTTCACCAACGCGAGACAAGTCCCAGAACATGATGCGCCTATCGTAGCTTCCGCTACCCAAGATACCAGCTTCACTGGGGTGCCACGACAATGACGTGACAGCATCGTTGTGGCCTTCCAGAGTATGCACCTTTTCTTTCACGTTACGAAGATCCCATATACCAATCGTCTTATCAGCAGAGGCAGTGGCCACCAGCACCTCAGTGTTGGGGTTGAAAGCCAAGGCGTTAATGGCATCTAAGTGGCCGCCTCTGGCGACTACAGCAGCCTTGGTCGTATCGTCATGGCGCTTATCGACGATTTGCAGTGTTTGGTCGTCAGAAACGGTGCCGATAAAGTTCTTTGAAATCGGATGGTACTGGACATCATTGACGACTTGGGTGTGGTGGGTGTAACGCCGTGTAGGTTTGAGGATTCTGACATCAGATTCGAGCTTCTTCAGGTCCCTGCGAATTATTTAGCACTCATCCCGGACAAACAGCTTTCAGCACATACCAAAGACACATGGTTTTATCCTCGCTTCCTGAAGCCAGGCAACCCTCCTCGTGGGGGCTCCAAGCTAGGCCAAAGCCCTCGGCCTTGTGGCCGATTAGCTCGATTTGTGCCTTGATTCTGCCGGTCGACGAAGGATGAAGCGGGTGCTTTGTACGATCAAAGATGAGAACCTTGCCATCGATACACAATGTAGCAATGATGTCTGGGTTTTGAGGCTGGTAGCGCGCCTTATTGACTTCGCCGGGGTGCTCAATCTTCTGGACAATGTCACATTTTATTGCAGCCACCTCTCCCGACTTATTGTACCCTCCAATCTCGCCACGGTCCTCATCGTAGTCGACTGGGTTCGGCGCGAGCGCTTTGGGAATCTGAACGTCGGCAATCTGCAAAAAGTTGGAGCTCTCGTCGGACGTGTGGGTACCGAGCAGCAGGCGGTGCGTCCGAAAGGTTTTCCCTTCATCCTTGACGTCGGGGAACCATTGGACGGTAAGAGTAGGCCACGTAAGTGCCGTACTATTTGGGATTGGTAAGAGAACAAAGAAAAAATTGCAGAATTGTACGCACCCAAGAATCATGTCGTATAAGAAGGGGCTGTTCTTCTTCCATGTTTTGTACTCTACACGACAAATTAGACTGACTGCGTCCATTATCAGTATAGTTTCAGGCAGATTCATACCCTCATTGATGAGTCTTTCACCCTGGTCGTCTTCATCATCGTGGGCCATATCGACTGCAACGCGTGTTAGCGAAAACCTATTGAAGCTCGCAAGCCAGCATACCGTCGACGTCGGGGTCCATGCTTGGGAGAGGCGCCATTCGAAATAATGGTATCGAGTTACTGCAGTTGAGAAAAAATTAGAAATGCTAGCTCGTAAGCACCGCAATGGCAGACTGATTGTTGGTTGCGAGGCGGCCGAGGCGCAGCTGTGGTGCAAGCATGAAAGGTAAGAGGCACGCGTCGCGCGTAAAGTGAAAGCCCAGCCGCCAACGAGCTCCAACCGGTGGGGGGCTGGGCGATAGGAAGGGCTTAGGCTTAGTCATGGCGCGGCGCTCGATTGGGGTTGTAGGTACACAAGTATCTGCAGCCTTAGGTACCTAGGTACCTAGGTACATGCGTCTCAAAGGTACCAGCCTGTGCTCGAGAGATACCTGGCCGCCAATGAGAGTTTGCGTAAAAAGCTGCTACAACAACGAAGAAGCTAAGTATAAATCCATGGCTTGCAAGTACTGCCCCATCACTTGGTCTTTCATGGTGTCCTTGCGGTACCTGGCTTAGCAGGCCCATATATTTAATCGCAGTGCTGCCCCTCAGGCAGATCAAGCCCAACCGCCATCTATGCGCAGGCAATTGCCTTCCTCTTGCAACAAGCAAACAAGTACGAGCAGATTGCGTTACACGCCACCCAATTCTAGGTGTGACAGGCCTTACTCTATAACGAGCTGCCTGGTATTACTGCATCTCTCAGTTCTTCCTCTGTCACGACTGCGACGCACGGCAATCATTCTCTTTGCGACAGCATTGGCTACCTTGGGACCCCGCGACATCGGTTTTCCCTCCCTCCAACTCTCGCCATCCACGTGGCACGCATCCGACCAAGACAGTAACGTAAAATCAACTATTATTACCTCTTTGTGGCACAAACGTGTCTAAACATCAGCATCATCATGGGGTCAGTGATGTGGCGCGCGGTCTCATTTCTAAAATATAAAATTGACTTCCGGATAGTGTGCCAAAATTTTTCCGATGGCTCTCTGAGCGATATCCGCCGATTTCGCAACTTATTGCGGAAAATAGGATTCCCGAGTTTGACTGCCTCTATGTATGACGAGATATCGCGACGCCAATACAAGCAGCGATGGCTAATTGCTGTACAGCTCGATATGAACGGCATTATCCACAATTGCACGCACAAAGATGCCGGCGAGGATACGACCTTTCGTCTAAGCGAGGAGGAAATGTTCATACGCATTTTCAACTACATTGAGCATCTTTTCGGCAAGATTAAGCCCAAGCAGTTATTCTTCATGGCCATTGATGGTGTTGCGCCTCGCGCCAAAATGAACCAGCAGCGAGCCCGTCGATTTCGTACTGCGCTCGAGGTCGAAAAGGCCCGCGAAAAGGCCATCAAGGAAGGTGTTGAGATGCCTAAAGAGGAACCATTCGATAGCAATTGCATCACACCAGGTATGCAACTTCTCAGCTAGCTGTGCCAACTTATATGCTTATTCTTCTGCAGGAACCGAATTCATGGCGAAACTATCCCGGCAGCTACAGTATTTTGTAAACAAAAAGGTCTCGGAAGACACCGATTGGCAGGGCTGCGAAATCGTCCTGTCTGGACACGAAGTACCCGGCGAAGGTGAACACAAAATCATGGAGTATATTCGAAATGCCAAATCGCAACCCGGCTATAATTCCAACGTACGACACTGCTTGTACGGTCTTGATGCCGATTTGATCATGCTAGGTCTTCTTAGCCACGACCCTCACTTTTCTTTGCTCCGTGAGGAAGTCACGTTTGGCAGAGCGTCCAAGAATAAGTCCAAGGAACTTGAGCATCAGAATTTCTTCTTGCTACACCTGTGCATGGTCAGAGAATACCTGGAGATGGAATTTCAGGAACTAAAGCACCAGCAAGACCTTGGATTCGAGTTTGATTTAGAACGTGTCATTGACGATTTTATCCTGATGGCGTTCTTTGTTGGCAACGATTTCTTGCCAAACCTCCCTGGCTTGCACATCAATGAGGGTGCGCTCGCCGACATGTTTGAAATCTACAAACGGGTTCTACCTGAGGAAGGAGGTTATCTACATGAGAATGGTGTCCTCAACATCAAGCGTGCTCTCAGAATGATTGCCGAGCTCAGCAAGGTCGAACTTAAGCAGTTCGAGCACGACATCGCTGATGAGAAGTGGTTTGCCTCCAAGCAGATGGAGAAGAAGTTGCAAAACACAACAGCTGCTTCCAAAGCAAAGACGTCCAAAAGTGGACAGCGCATCATCACCACAACTCAGCGTGATCTTTGGAAGCAAAAGATCCGCCCCTACGTCTCCAAGCGCTCGAACGATGCATTGGATCTTGGCGTAGAATTGAGTGCGGCCGATAAGAAGTTCGCACAAGAAATTGCCGACGCAATGCATCTGGACTGGTCCACAAAAGAAGATGACAATGGATTTCGACATCTCATTATCTCATATCCCCCCAAGTCGGCGGGTGACCATCACGACGATGAAGAAGGCGAGGAAGAGGAAGGTAATCTTGCAGCTTATCGCGTCATCAGAACATATGATAAGGCTGTAGTGGTCAATGACTCCAGCGAGGCTTCCCAAGAGGAATATGAGAAGCTTTATCAAGAAAAGTATCAAGCCTGGAAGACCAAATACTACCTGCAAAAATTTCCAGAGTGGGAATCTACGGCCTATGCAGAGGAGCAAACAAATCTCTGCGAAAATTACGTCGAGGGTTTGCAATGGGTTCTTTTCTACTACTATCGCGGAATCGCGTCCTGGCCTTGGTTTTACAAGTACCATTACGCGCCTCTCATTTCCGACGTGGTCAAAGGCTCGAATGCCAAACTGGTCTTTGAAAAGGGGCAGCCGTTCAAACCTTACGAACAACTCATGGGCGTTTTGCCAGACCGAAGCAAAAAGATCGTACCTACGGCTTATCATGACCTCATGACAAACTCCAGCTCTCCTATCATTGACTTTTACCCGCGAGATTTCGAATTGGACATGAACGGGAAAAAGATGGATTGGGAAGCCGTCGTCAAGATACCCTTTATCGACGAGAAGCGTTTGTTGGCCGCCATGGAGACAAAGAACGCGCTTCTTAGCGACGACGAAAAGTCTCGCAATGGCTTTGGGGTTCCTCTGAAATTCACGTATTCTCCAGAAGTGAATTTCACCTACCCTTCTCCTCTTCCCGGCATCTTTCCCGACGTGCAAAATTGTCGATGTATCGAGAATATCTTTGATCTGCCGAGCATGGAGGGACTGGTGTACAAATCAGCTTTGACAGAGGGCGCAATGCTAAAGATGGACGCACTAGCAGGCTTCCCCTCACTTCACACGCTCCCTCATACAGCACAACTCATTGAAGGCTACGGCATCAACGTCTTTCAGGCCGATAGCCGCAACCCGAGTATCATCGTGACGCTGACTGAGACCGAGGCACGCAGCAAGACCGAAACCTGGAAGGCAAGGTTAGGAAAGAAGTGCTTTGTGGGATTTCCTTTCCTTCAAGAAGCCAAGGTCGTCAAGGTTCAGGATGAACTTTTTACATACGAACTCGGCGAAGATGGTGTGAGCGTCGCCATGAGGGATAACACGAACCGCGAATCCGCGGAATTTGCCAAGGAGGCAGAGTACCTCGAGAATTGGTACGCAAAACGGCTCGGTATCACAATTGGTCAGGTTGAGTGTCTCACTGGAGTCCACATGCTGAGGGGCCTTATCAAGACAGAGGGCGGCGCCATGATAAAGGAATATGCCGAAAATCCCAGTATCCGAAGCATCTATGCCTCTCAGACCGTCGTTGACGAGGTCACGAATGAGGACGAACGATTCATTGAAAGGGCTGCTCTGCCAGTTGAAGAGGAATTCCCTCAAGGAACAAGAGCATTCTTCCTCGGCGACTATGCCTACGGACGACCTCTTGAGATCACCGGCCATATCAATGGCAAAACCGAAATAGTGGTCTCGGTTCCGAAAACCAAGGAGCCCGAATTCTCGCGATCTATCATCCAGCAGGCCGAAAGGGGAAACCCGTACACGCCGTCCTTTGCGATTGCCAAACAGCTCGGAGTCCACCCATTGGTACTAAGCAAAATTACGTCCTCTTTCCAGGTGCTGACCTCGGCCGGGTTGAAGCTGAATCTGGGACTCAATCTCAAGTTCGAAGGACGCAAGCTCAAGGTGCTCGGATACTCGCGCAAATCCAACACTGGCTGGGAGTTTAGCAACTTGGCTATTCAGCTCATTGCCAACTACATGGTTACGTTTCCGGACTTCTTTGCTGCGGTGCAAAAGCACGCTCAGAAGAGCGACATTTATGACACTGATCTGTGGCCCGATCAAAGTGTTGCATCTCAAAGACTGAAGGATCTTTCTGCTTGGCTTAAGAAGCAAGAAACGAGCAAGTTTGAGAAGGTCACTTTGGATGCCGAGCAGCTCGACTCGGACATTGTCATGGCGCTAGCGAAAGCTGGCGAACAAGTCTTCCAGGCTTCCCAGGATTGCGAGATTCGCAAACTGCGTGGTGTTCCCCGTACAGCCTTGCTGAAGCCGTCAGATGCTGAGATGGTACTTGGAAACCAAACTTTCAAGCTCGGGGATCGCGTGACGTTTGCTGCTGCGGCTGGCAAAGTGCCTATCGCCACAAGGGGCACAGTGGTGGGTATCAGCCGCACCCCAACGGCACTTTTACTCGACATTGTCTGGGATACATCGTTCATGAGTGGAACCACACTGGGCGAACGCGCTCCCGTGTTTCGCGGACAGACCGTGCCAGCGTCGAGTGTTCTCAACACCACAAACCGTCAGGTATTGTCCGCTTCAAGCAAATCGCAGCAGCGACGTGCGGCGGCAGCACCGAGCATGACAACCGGTGGCTATGGCTCGGTCGGTGTGACACAGTACAAGGACGCCAATGCCCCAGCACCTCTTCGTAGTGGCTGGAGTGGCGTTGTCAATGGAAGACAACCTTCCGGTCGCGGCCGCGGCCGCGGCGGCGCCAACAGCGAGCCGAAACTTCTACACAGCAGCATGGTGTACCGAAATGGACCCAACGGCAATTCGCAGAACAACGGAAACAACGGGCAAGGTAACCGTGGTAATAGCGGTCCTCGTACTGGCGCAGCTCAAGGAAAGACTGGCGAGCAAAAGTACGGAAATGTGCCGCCGCCGGCAGACTTGAACGCTCCACGGGGCGGCCGAGGTCGTGGTAGAGGCTATAGAGGAAGGGGCAACGGGTACCGTGGGCGAGGTGGTGTTGCTGGCACCCAGGAAGCCAAGAAAGCATAGGTCAGTGGATTGGAAACTGGCAAAGAGTTGTATGATGGGTTTACTGGTAAAATGTTCTATATGAAGTGCAATGTATGTTGTCGAATCCAGAGGGCAAAGATGACGACTAATGCACAGATAAAGGCACTGGAGCGCCTTTTCGCAACCTAGATAGATGAGGTGCATGGCATTGGGATAGATAACTTGTTTCAATAAAACGGCAGTGAACCCCTCATCGGCAGCAATCTCGTTTATAGTCGGGCGACACGAAATCAAAATATAGTCTCGAGTCTTCTCGTCAAACAACAGCTCACCATCCATAACGCCGAAGATTCATTCTTTTGTGGTGATGCCTAAGTCATATCGACATCCAAAACTTTCCCACATCTGCAATAATGACTTATCGAGACTCGATGGCTTACGCCTTAGCTTTATTGACCTTGGCCTTGGGTTTAGCCTTGGTCTCCTTGGCTTCCTTGACCTTGAGGGCTGGAAGGGCTAGCTTGTCGCTCTCGCCTCCGGACATGGTCTTCCATAAGAAGAGGTCCCGTGGCAGGTTCCAAGTCAGCAAACCAACCCAGGGCTGAACATTATAGTGCAGTTTCAGGGTGACATCTTCCGTCTGGGCAATCTTGCCAGAGGGATGCGTGATTTGGTACTTTGGCTTTTGGTTTTTGAGCTTAAGTTTGCCGCTGAAAGGTCCCATAATATTAGCAGAGAGAAAATCAGACATGGGCTTTTGGAGGATGGTTGCAGTTGATTTGGTATTCATCACGTACCGGTTCGGGTCAATCGACTTGCCAGCTGAGCTCTTTCGGAGCTTCTTCAACGTAGCTGGTCCAATATTCAAGAGGTGGTCGGCGCTGGGGTTGGTAATGATGCTGTCCCAGATGACAGCCGAGTTTGTCGTATTGTCCGCGCCGGGCCAGTCGGCAGTGACGTATACAAAGAGGTTCTTGGTGTTCCAGGTGAATAGACTGGAGAGGTCGGCGTCGAGAGAGAAGCGGATGACGGCGTATTCTTCTTTTTTGGTGCTGTAGTAGTGCGGCCGGCCCTTGACACTATAGCTTGTGAGCTAGATATTCTTCTTTCCTTTTTTTTTCTTTGCCTCCCTCTGTCGCCCCTCTAGAGGCGCGCCAGTCGAGCGAGCATGTCAAGGTCCAGCAGCTTACACTTGAATGTTGTCCGGGGTAATGATGCCGGACGGCTCGCGCGGGGAGAAGAGGTCAGTGGCAGCGATGAAGGCGCCAAAGACGCAGGCTACCGTGGTGAAGAAGCCAAAGACATTCTGGATGCGATTGAACGAGTTGTACATGTTTATGCGCGGTTACGGGGGAAGGCCTGGTCGCGACCACGTCGAACGAGTGAGGGAAAGTGTAGCTGCGCTTCGGGTTCCGGCGGTAGGCTTCGCCTCGTTCGGCGGGCGCTTTGGTTGTCGATTGGGGATTGCTTGATGGATGGATTGGCAAATGCGAGGGAGAGAGGAGCTCTGATGGGAAGTGATGGTCGGGCGCGAATCAGGACACGTTGATGAGTGTGGGGAGCTTTTTTGGGGTAAGTGCCTAGGTAGGTACCCAGTGTGCCAGTACCGCGCCTTATGCCTGCTTGTAATCCTGCTTTTCAAGACAAGGGATGATGCTTGTTGTTGATTAGATCTTTTTTTTTTAAATATTGCACGGTGAGTAAAGACAAATGAATATCGCAGTCTTTTTCTTTTTTTTTTTTTTTTTTTTTTTCAGATTCGATCTACTTTTCTACCTGGAACATAACATATATAGATTGACAACAAGCTCTGCCGTATTCATGTTTGAAATAGAAAAAGGGATCACACTGGTATGGTTTCACTATATCGAAAGCATGATGAATCCAAGATTCAGATTCGACATTTTTAAGCTTTTCCCCAAAATACATGTAAAGCTACCCAAAATTAGTTGGTACGGATACTAACCTCCCAGCCTCTCCAAGACTACAGTTAATTACCTACGGATACCACAACGCCCTGTTCAAGACCCACTGTCTCTGCCGCTTCACCCCGCTGATCGTGAGCCAACTTTTTTTCTTTAATCTGGGAGCGCCATTGTCGCAAGCCCTCTCAGCCGACAGCCCACATGGCCGCCTGTACCTGCTGCTCACGCCCTCAAACGCACGTCGACATATCTTGTCACATAGCGATCAGTCGCGTACCGCTATTGTTTCGCCAAATTATCCTCGCAGATAGTCACGGCAAGACGGCTTCAGCATTCGTTTGGTCGCCCCAGATGCTCTAGATCCATGCCGCCTGACAGAGCCCAAGATTCAGAGTCTAGCCGCCGAGAGAATCTAGCTGCAACAGCAACGAGTCAAAGACCTGGTTGGAAGTTGGTTTATCGACGGATAACTTGAGCACTATTGTACTCGTACCAACATCTCATAGCGCTATACGTCGATATTATTCCCAAGCCAACTCGTGCCCGGACTATGGGTGGTATGTCGTTGATGCATCAGCATGTGAAAAGACACTGACTGAATGGGCAGCAGGCCGACTAAAGCTACCATGGGGATCGAGAGGGTTGTAGGTTTTTTCCTTCCCCCCAGCATACCATATTTTCTCGCCATACAAAACTAACCCGTACCGTGTAGAAACGGATGAATCAGTCGTTCGCCTCAGTCAATACGCTCAACCAAAGTGGCAACAAGCGAGAATTTTCTGGACCATCCTCCGTCCCGCATCAGAATTCGGCTAAGCGGCAAAAGCTGAGCGCTCATTCTAGAGACGGTCTCTTACACGAAACCTGGAAACTCGGGCTAGAAAAATTGGAAGCAACAACCGACGACCGCAACCCTCAGACCGCCCACGCTGGCTCTACCCGTCCCTCAGAGAACAAAGCTCAAATCTCGGTGGATATATATGACCCAGATCCCTCACCATCTAGGGTTGTCTCCGATATTGCTCCCAGACACCGTGGTCCAAAACGGCGGTCCACCAATGTAGATTCATCAGCACACTTCAAGCATGCGTCCAAACGTCGCGAGGTCTCATTACAGCTTGACGAAATCGAGACGTCCGAGGACGAACTGCAGTCCAATCATTCAACTATTCCGTCAAGAGTTCGGCATACCCAATTTTCACGGATACAATCTTCTCCTCGTCGTATGCGCGGCAACATAATCTCGACAAAGTTTGATGATAATGGGTCGAAAGGCGTCAATAAAGTCTCGATAGACATAGTAAAGGCTGTGTCGGGGTCTTATTCGTATTGTGTGTCAGACAGCAATTGCCCCCAGCTGTCTTTGCATCGCTCGTCAAGCGATTCCTCTCTTCTGGAAGCATGGGCCAACGGAACGCGGGAAGAAGAGCATCAATGGGTTTCATTTAATGTAAAGGACGTTAGAAACGTTCGCTACGGCGGATGCTACTTGCATTTTCGACGATCCATGCTCCGCGGTCGACCGCCGACAATCACATTGCAATTTGCGAGCCCGCAAGGGGCTGCTCAAGTTGCCGAAATGATCGTTGAGGGTCTTTCTGAGAGGCAAACCGACACAAGGTAACTCTAACGTCAATCCATCTTTTTTCATCCCTCTCTAACTAATAACAACAGAGAAGAATTGAAAAAGATCCTTGACGTCTCCTGGAAGAAAGCTGCACAGAGCTCGCGACCTGCCAGTCGCGAGGATGATGACACCCGACAAGTGAATGTAACCAGGGATTGGAGCAGGCACTCCGGCGACGAAGAAACTCAAACGCAACGGAAGTCGCCGCAGAGCAACTCGACAGCTCGCTCCGCTCCCCTCGAAGAGCGAAGGCGCTCTGCATCACCAGCCCGACGAATTGGCATGGAAACGCGGCGGACCAGAAGGTCATCGCGAACTCGCAAGGAAATTGTCCCATCTCTCGAACGCTGGTCCAAGAAGAACACCGGATGGGACGAGGACTGGAAACAAACGCTTGTGTACCCTGCCAGCGGGCGCAACCGAACCTCGGTGGAAAAAGAAGATATTCTCAAGCTGGACGAGGGCGAATTTCTCAACGACAACTTGATTAACTTCTACTTGCGATACCTGCAAACCAATATAGGACGAGATCATCCAGAATTCGTCAGTCGCGTGCATATCATGAGCACATTTTTCTTTGAGAAGCTGACATCCCGTAAAGGGGGCATCAACTACGACGGTGTCAAGAGCTGGACTTCCAAGGTAGATTTGTTCTCTTACGACTATGTCGTGGTGCCGGTTAATGAGAACGCTCACTGGTATCTGGCTATCATATGCAACACTTCAAAGCTGCTAGCGCCTACGGAAGATGAAATGCATGTTGACACCTCCACAAATATTCTGCGCCGACCGAAATCAGAATCTCTGATCATGACGAATATGGAGCAAGGAATGACGGATGTTTCGCTCGAGGACGTTACTGCGCCACGACGCTCCTCTAGACAGCTTTCGTCGGGCTTGGCATCATCCCCATCGAAAATAGCTCCAGAAGCGGGCTCTCCGCCACGAGCTGTGCACGGCAGCCGTACTCTATCCAAGCGTACAGACGCCTCTGTGCCACGCATTATCACGCTTGATTCCCTCGGAATAACTCACTCCGCGACCTGCAAGGTGCTCAAGGAGTACCTTGTCGAAGAAGCCAAAGACAAGAAGAATATCAACCTAGCGGCCGTGCCCGTCGGCAAGAAGGCCCGCGGCATACCCGAGCAAGACAACTTCTGCGACTGCGGAGTCTTTGTTCTGGGCTACATGGATGAGTTTCTCAAGGACCCAGACACGCTAGTACGCAAGATCCTGGCGAAGGAGCATGTCGGCTGGTCGATTAACGCTGCGCGGCTGCGCGACAAGGTTCGGGAAATTCTATTTGGATTGCAGAAGGAGCAGACCGATCGTCTTGCACAGGAACGCGAGGCAAAGCGCCAAAAGAAACGCACGAGCGCCGTCTCGGGCAGCAGCGCGTCCGAGACTGCCCTTGAGGCGCTACCGCCCAGAAGCTCCGACATCAGTCAAGAACTCCCGACTCCGCGTCCACCACCAAACGTATGGCATGTGTCCGACGACGAAGGCGCCGTGGCCATGGTCAAGATGCCGGCACCCGCGGCACAGGCTGCGGACGAGACGGGGTCGCAGCCGTCCGCGAAGCGCGCGCACAAGACGCACGCACACCAACGGCAGCCAAAGGTGTCGCCTCCGCCTGCAAGCCCCGGCGACACGCAAACTCAAGACACGCAGGATTCGGTGCAGCTTCTCTCCGTGGTGGCGCGCTCCCCCTCGCGGCGGAAACGCCCATCAAAGTCTGCGCGCTTGTAACCTTTTGTCGCTTATTCATTTAAGAGCTAGAGCGCCATGTTTGGGGTTTTGACTACTTTTCATATCCATATAGAGATGGACGCTTTTGTTCATTACAGCGGTGGAATGTAAACTGTTCAACAGGCTCTGGATGTTGACAGTTGTGGATCAAAGAGGTTTGGTTGTACTTGTAGTTTGGCACCATTTCGTTCGTGCAGCAGTTTGCTCGGGTTGGCATGATTCACATTTTCACTAGCTACGTCTAACAATACATGACGCATTATTTGAGCATCTATACTACTACTGTGCACGCCGTGGTGTTTTTGAAAGGGCTGTTTACACGTGTCTTTTGTTTGTTTCCCATGGTTATGGTGCAAAATGGGAGAAGGATGCAGTGTCATGTGTACACACGACTGTTTTGAGGGAAATATGTACATGAAGCCTCCCTTGCCTTCCGTCTCGTACCCGTTCACGAGCTTTCTTTTTGTGATTCGCCTCTGATATGAACATGTATGCACACTCTCGGCTCCATTGTCTCATTCATCCGAGTCCACGTTTTCCGCGTGGCCGTTGGTCACCTCCTTTGAGATGCGAGGCACCTCAAAGATGACGCCACCGTTTCTCACGCCCTTTTGCACCTTCCACCGACCGAGGCGGTGCTCGCTACTTACTGCGGCCACAATGCACAGTCCATCTTTGCCGCGATCGCCGCGCTCAAAGGCAGTGATGCCATTAATGATGCCCTCGATGGGACGCTGCGGTTGCTGCTTATACGCAGCGTTTCTGTCGTCCTCGCCATCTTGCTCCGTCGTTTCCATGCCGGTGGTCTTTGTTGAGCTCTCGCTTTCTTGTCTGCCAAGCGAACCCAAGAGTTCGATTTTGCGCTTATCCTCCGAAAGCCGCCAGGCTTTAATTTGCCCGTCCCAGCTGCCGCTGAGGATGATGTCAGAGTATGGTATCGTCTCGAGTGCTGTGATCCAGCGTGGCGTTTGCGCAGGGATCTCGGCGCTTCTGGGTTCCATTTCGGCAGAAGCGGCTTGAGGTTCGAGTGGCGGATCAACGCCATGTGCCAGCACCTCAATGTACACAGGCTTCTTCTTAGCGACGCTCCAGAGCGAAATGGAACCATTGTCGCTTCCAGTCACAAACAATTCGTCGTCAATCATGGCGATGCGGTCCATGGTGCCTTCTGCCAGCAATGAGCGCTTGTCTACTGCCGAACTCTTCGGTTTCTTGTCGACAGCGCCGCCGCGGAAGACGAGCTGTGTTTCCTCGCTGACTTTCCAGAGGCGCGCAGTACGATCGCGCGCACCAACGCTGATACAGCGCTCTTGCGCCAGTGCGTCAATGTCCACGATTTCGTCTTGGTGGCCAAATAGCGTTTCGACATAAGCCATTTCATCCAGACTCCAAACCTTGACTGTTCTGTCTTTGGAGCAAGAGTAGAGCTGGTTTGTACCTCTTCGAAAGGCAAGTCCCGTGACAGCATCACGGTGGTGGGTGAGAACCTTGATCGGCTTCAACGTCTCTGCCTCGTAGACAATAATTTTCTTGTCTTCTCCTCCAGTTACGACGTATTTGCCATCTGGTGAGGCCGCAACAGTGAGAATTCGGCCAGTATGACGTTTAAAGTATCGCTCTCCAGCTTTGGCAGTGTTTCCTCTGATCCAGGTTTCGAGCTCGGGTTTTCTTCTGGGGGGTGCGGCGGCTTTTTTGGGTTTGCGCTTTGTTGTTTGGGGATATTGATCCTTTGGCAGATCTTGTGTTCTCCATCGGTGGAGAAACATGTCTTTTGATGCGGTGTACACATATGGAGCGCATGCGGCGACACCAGTGATGGCATGGGTGTTTGTTCGAAAGAATGTTTGTGACGATTGTTGAAGGGCCAATTCGGGCGCCAACTGACGATAGACCTTTCCCTTGGTCTCTGCAATGTCCTCTTCTAATCGTTCAGCGATCATGTCCCGATCGATATCGGCAGCGTCAAAGCCAGCTTCGTCGACGTGCTGCTTGACATTCTGGAGGTAGCGCTCGGCTAGACGCAATCTTCGTTCGGCGGCGGTTTCTTCTTCGCTCTCTTCAGATTCGCTATCGTCTACATCTTCTTGTTCGTCGGACTGAACGACAGAGTCGTCATCGTCATCGTCCGACTCACTTTCGGAGACTGAGTCGTCCCGCCGTGCTCGCTTCTTTGGTGTCGCAGCGGATTTGTTGCCGCGGGGCTTGCCATTGCTTCGCTGCACGGCAATCTTCTTTTTGGGCGCTTCTGAAGACACATTTCTCTTGCGCTTCTTTTGGCTGCCGGGGATTGAGAAGAATGACGACATGGCTACCGCTGTTGCTCGGGAGAAAGCAGCGCTGTGTCTATCTTCCAGGCCAGAAAAGTAGCAAGTTTTCTGCCGCCTTTCAAAAAAAAAAAAAAAGTTGGAGAGGCACTTGCCAGAAATGGATAGTGTATCCACAGCAGGCGTCGACCAATGGTGTGGGCTGATCGGGTCATAGTGGTTCCGGTCATCCACTGGCGCAACTTGACTTGTTACTGCGAGCGCTTGTTGACGCGCATGGCTACAGCAGCCTAGTTGAGGTAGGTAGCTACCTAGCTTGCCGAAACGCAACACTCTACAAGGCATCAAGCTTCCTCTTCAACCACAACACTATCCCACGCAACAATCAATATGTGAGACAACACATTCATTCTCAAATATCATGAATCTTGCTGCTGACATTGCCTCATCAGGGAGGTTCTACTGGGCATCACTGGCAAAGACTTTACCCTCATCGCGGCTTCCAAGGCCGCCATGAGGGGCGCTACGATCCTCAAGGCATCGGACGATAAGACGAGAGAGTTGAACAAGAACACTTTGCTTGCTTTTTCTGGAGAAGCTGGTGATACAGGTAAATCATCCGCCTCGAACCTGAGCTGGCGCATCCGTGTGATGCATGGCTCGCCGAGGGGACGCTGGCGACGATGCTGACGTGCAATGTTCCGTTTGCAGTGCAATTTGCCGAATATATCCAGCGCAACGCACAATTGTACTCGATGCGAAACGAGACAGACCTATCTCCCTCGGGCCTTGCACATTTTGTGCGTGGCGAGCTCGCTTCCAGCCTGCGATCGCGAAAGCCTTACAACGTCAATCTCCTCATGGGTGGTGTCGATCCCATCACGGGCAAGCCCTCTCTGTACTGGATGGACTACCTTGCAGCGATGGCCGAGGTTCCTTATGCCGCACATGGCTACGCACAGTAAGCAACATCTGAGCAGCACCGACGATGCGCCAAGCAAGCTGAGAGCAGTTATCGCTGCCGCTGACCGGCTGAGGTTGGAAGACGACGACTGACCATGCTTGAATAGGTACTACTGCCTCTCGATCCTCGACAAGCACCATCACCCGGATATTACTCTCGGACAGGGCATCAAGCTTCTGACGCTGTGCACTGACGAATTGAAAAGACGATTACCGATTGACTTTAAGGGCATGGTTGTCAAGGCCGTCAAGGCTGATGGAATTGTGGATATAGAATTTGATGACGACAAGGTTGTAAAGTCGGCGTAATTTATGAAGCAAGGCTAGATCAAGGTGCGGCCTGCATAGCCGTGGCTAGGTAAAGCCGAGGAATCAATTTTTGACTCAATCCCTTCCATTCTCTCTACCATGTGATTGTACCAGCACAAGCTGGATACGGTCGCGCTGATTGAATTTGAGCCAGTATATATCGAACACTCAACGGCCAGCAGCGAGCTTAAGAACTGCTATTTTCTACTGCAGTTGGGGCCAACGTGACTTGGATGGTGGCTACGACTCATCGATGGATGGCCTACGACGCAAAGCTTGTATCTGTTGAGTACGTCTGGCACTGTACTCTTTTATGTCTTGACCAGACGACTTTGCCCATGCTACGCGTTGCTTCCTTTCTGGCGAGATCCTCCAATGCGATCGTCTGAGCGGCTGTTAGACATTCTCCATAGTGATTCGGGGCTCTTGTTGTTTGTCCTCTGTTATATGATTCAGGTACCTTGTTTTATGTCTTCTTTGAAAATTTCTTATTTACTGAATTTACTTATTTACTTTGATTTCTCTCATCTGTCATTACAAAATCAACACCCCTCAATAGCTGCGGGCAAAATGCTCCACAAGTGATCCTTTGTTCCATTGTCATCAAACTGCACCACGTTGGCGCCGTTTGTCACAGCCATGCCGTCAACACCAGCCACCTTGTTGCTTCCCTTGTTCCTGATTAAAAAGTGCCCGTTTCCGCGCGATTCCACCTTCCACAGGCGATACGCGCTCCGATCGCCGCCGCCGCCGCCGCCACCACCCTCGTCGTCATCGTTGACCTGCACCAGATTCGCGCTATTATCGTCCGACTCGACGGCGAGCACGAGGCCGCTATGCAGGTTCCGAATCGCGCTCCAGCCTGCCTGCTGCGCGGGCACAAACTCCCAGTGGTGGTCGCGCGAGCCATTGTCGTCGTACTGCTGCACGAGGGCGCCAGACGTCTCGAGCATGCGCTCGACGCCCATGAGCTTGCCGCTGTTCTCGTTGCGCAGCTGGAACAGCGGCGCGGTCCAGGCCTCGAGCTCCGACAGGCCCCAGCCCTTCCTGCCCGGCTCCGGGTTGGGCGCGACGACGCGGAGCTGCGACGCGGATATGGCGGGAAAGGTGATGCGAATCTGCTCGTTGGATGACGTGGGCGCCGCCTTGCTCCGCTGCTGGCCGGGCACAGTCACCCAGGCGCTTGCGTCGCCTCCGGGCGGCAGGTACTGCAGGTCGTAGCTGGCCGGGAGGCGGACGCCGTCGTCGTCTTGGTAAAAGTAGAGGCGGACGTCGCACAGCGACTGGGTCTGGCGGAAATCGACGCCGAAATAGTCGCTGGCGTTGGGGCTCTGGTACGAGGTCCAGCGGGTGTTGGGCGGCACGCCTGTGCGCCAGATGTTGCCGTCAATGGCCCGCATCGGGTCGTCGAACCCGGACGTGTAGGAAGCAAAGGCCCGCGACAACTGGGTGTACCGTTGGGAGTTGGCGGCAATGTTCACTTTGAAGGCTGGGGGCTGAGGGATGGCAGGAGTGACATCCACGGTGACTTGCTCGACTGCATCGCGATGGAGGACCAGAGTTCCGTCGACATACACCCTGAAGCCCGCTCCTTGGTTGTATCGGTTGCCCGACTCGTCCCATAGCACGGTGATGCTGCGGCCGTGGTAGGCCATGTTCTCGACGGCAAAGTACGCCCAGGTTGAGGGCACCAGCGGGCGAATGGTCAAGTGATTGTCGGGGCGCCCGCGAAGCCCCAGCAGTCCCGCGAGGACATTGTCAACAAATGTTGAGTGGTTGTAGTCCTCGCTGTGGTCACGTCCGTCGTACATCCATCTATCCTCGGTGGGATGGTGCGCTTCGGCAACGTATGGCGTGCCGTTTTTGTAAAGAGTCTTTGCATACGTCTCCAAGAGCTTGAAATAGTCTGACGGTTTGACGGTATCTTGCTGGTAATGGTGCAGCAGCGTCTCGACCGCGGCGAGCGTCTGCGAGGTGGCAAAGGGCCACGAGGGGCCGTCCCAGCGGCAGCAGCCGTCGGCTTCGTGCATGTACCACTTGCTCCTCTGCTCAAGAGTGGTTGGTCCAAAAGTTGACGAAAAGCCTTGCGTGTCCATCAACTGCTCGAAAGGCTCTGTTGAAAAGTTGGCAGTAGGCATGTCGAACATCCAGGGGAGAAAGCCCATAATCTCACGATCGTTTAGCAGCTTCTGGCCATAGTCGCGATGTCGATGCACAAAGAACTTCTTGTCCTTGTTCCACAATTGCGAGTGCAGAGCCTTTTGCAAAGACTCTGCGCGTTTCTCATATTCTCTTTGCAGGTCAGAGTTGCCTGTCAACGAGGCAATCTCGGCAATGGCGCGCGCGTCGCCGTACTGATACGCGTTGATGGTTGGGCGGAAGCCGGCTCCGCCGTGGTAGGCATCACCGCTGGGGGACTCGTACGAGGCCGCCGTATATTCAGTGGCATCCCAGACGGGGACCTGCCAGTACAGTCCGAGGTCAGAGTTGAAGTGGCTGTCCCAGCCGCGGTACTGCTTGACGAGGTTGTCGAGCTGGCTCGTGGTAAAGTTTACGTCTCCGGTAATGAGGTACTGTTTCCAGACGGCGCTGGCGGCCCAGAAACTATACTCGTGGGCCCAGTCGTGCGTGTCCTTGTTGAGCTCCTCGGTCGCGGGCTTGGGAAGCTGTCCGGGACCGGCGAGCCAGTAGTTGACCAGGTCCTGGCCGTAGCGGAGGTCGCGCAGCCACCGACCCTCTGCAATATGATGACCGGCAGCGGCGACAATTCCGCCAAGGGGCGCGCCGTACCCGGCTGGGTGGAGGAATTCCGTGGCGAGGTAGCCGTGCTGGGCTCCCGTGTAAGCCAGGTGTTCCTTGTAAGTCTGCCAGCGATAGTAGTAGACGTCTTGGATCTGCGTGCTGGGGACCTCTATCAGAGGAATGTTTGTCTCAAACCAGGCCGGATCTTCCACTCTGGAGAGTAGGCGAGCATGGTCCAGAAAATTGGTGCTGGCAGCCAGGACTCGCTGCAAGAGTGACAGCCCTGCTAATGGCCGTGTTGCACGCATATCGCCAGGTTTGGAGCGATAGCGTGAAGTTGAATGTCGATCTGATGAAAATCATTGGCACAATACTGAGACACGACTTGGATAATTGGTAGATTATATACCGGCATCTCCTCTTTGCTTCTTTGTAACCCTTATTCAGTTTTTTTTAAAGTACACTACAAAGTGGCCGAGCTCGGGCGCATGTTCATATCATGCCTTGCCCCTACCATTGTGCAACGCCTTGGCGACACCCGACAAGGCATCCCACTGACCTTGCCGACCACGCGATGTTACCCGCCGGAACATGACCAGCACACATCACGGGATGCTGCCCTGTAGCTGAAGGTTTACAATATATATAATTCTCTCATGCCTTTGAGACTATTGAGACTATTAATACGCCCACAACATCTCAAAGGTGGTCAAAGACATTTTTCTATTTCGCCGAACACATGGTCACGCACACGGATCCCATGCCATCTTTGGCTCTATCCAACTTCCCGAGCAGTGTTAGTAGTGCTAGGCAGAGAGGTCTAGAACTTGCTTTCCGTGTGCCGACGGACCACCACATCCGTTTTTTTTTACGGGTCGTCTTTGACTGGCTACTGCAGTGCTCGTCGCACGACTCTTTTTTTGTTCGTGTTTGGTTCACGAGAACTAGTTCAAGTTATGCGTCGCATGCCCATGGTGCAGTGCAGAGAGGCAAAGGGCGGTAAAGTGGGGTGGGTGCAGGTGCATGTATGAGCCCCTTGGAACAAATACTGATACCTCGTTCGACCCCTTTTCGTGTATTTTCTTTTTATTTGCCAGTACGAGTCAAGTTGTCGGTAGCCAAGTTGTCATTCTTTGCACACAGTACGGACGGTGTTAGAAGCTGCGCAGTCGAGCAGCTCCATCACCAATAGTCAACTCAGCTCGCTATAAGTTATTCACTGTGACAAGAAATCATCTACATGAAAGTTGGTGTTATGTGGGGGTACTTCCCCTGGATCCGAGTCTTCTCGGAAACAATGACGCCGAAAGAATTCAGATGAGGTGGGTTTCTAGGTTTCCCTGCCGTACTCTACCGGATGCAAGTCTCTTGTTCAGCAATGTGGAGGTGTCGGCCATTGATGTTGACACGACAGAGACAGGGACTACCAGTCTTCCCGTTGCGGAGTTTCTTTCGACTGTTACTTGGGTATATTCAGTTTATTGGATGTAAAATGAGCAAGATTTGTTAATTTCCAACAGGAAAGTTCAAGCTATAGAATTCGAGATAAAAAAACACAACACGAGCAACTGATGAAGAGGTTAGTACAGTTGTCGAAGCCGCGGAAGACAATTATTATCCAGTTACATGGTAGTAGAAAATACCATGGTCAGTCATACGTATGCACAGTGTTCGTTAAATGTGGCCAGTTCTACACATTCATTAAACATGCCAATTATGCATCCAGTCTTCAATTCGACACCATCCGTCCTGTCCCCCCCCCCCCTCCCCCCGCGCGTCTTTTACATCTTGGAGGCATCCCTGTAGCAGCTCACCTCCCGCGCAAACTCGTGGCTCGCAAGCGCCCCCTCTGGCAGTTCCTTGAGCTCCGCGCACTCGGGCAGCAGCGCAATCGCCACGCACTCCTCCGGGGGCAGGGGCAGCATCGCCCCCCTTCCGCCACCCCGCCGCCGCAGCACGTTGAAGCGCTTCCCGCCATAGTACGCGAGCGGCTCGTTGCAGGCCAGCCACCCCATCGGGCGCAGCTGCGGGTGAGCGGCGGCGGCGGCGGCGGCGGCTCCGACAGCCGGCACGTAGACGCCGCCGTCGCCGGGGCCGACGTCCAGACGGGCGACCTGCACGTCCCAGTCGTCGTCGAGTGTGTGCAGTGAGAGGCCGTACGGCACGGGCGGGGCGCCGCCGTCGGAGACGGTGCTCCAAGACGTGTCTTTATCGGAATCGGTGCCGTTGACGTAAAAGATGCGTCCAGTGTCGGCGCGAAAGCCAACCAGGTTCGTGCCGGCGCCGTCGTGGATCGAACTGATGTACTGGTGCTGGACGGGCGAGGCGAGGTCTGCGCGGGGATCGCGCAGCCGCACCCGCAGCTTCAGGCCCCGGGCGGTGCTCAGGTTGTTGATGGTGTCGTTGTGGTTGTTGCCCGGGCAGACGGCCGAGGCCGCGGCGGCGGCGAGGCCAAAGAGGCCGAGAGCAGCGAGGAGAAAGCGCATCATGGCCTTGTCAAGATGTGTTGTAGTTGGGTTGTTTGGGTTATGGAGAGGAGTTGATATCGCTCTCCTGTAAAAGGTCTATTCTCCAGACTATATACATATTTTCGACACAAATGTCTGGTTGGAGAGAAAGTCGGTCGCATGTTGTGTAAGTGGGCTTAATTGTAACCAAGTGACGTCGGGCTGGCTAGACCCTGAATCTCGGAGCTTGATCTTGGTTCTTGGTAGATCAGTTTGGCGGAGGTCCAAGAACTGCCCAGCTTCCTTGAAAACAAACAAGCAAGCTTATACCACATGCAACCCGAAGCCGGCGAGCGAATCGCCCCGTTCGTACTCATTGTTTGCTACTGGAGTCGGTCAGTTCAACTTCATCAAGGAGTTTTCTCTTATACACCATGTGAGACAATCTGTCAAGCTTCACACTAATTGTCTGCAAACAAATTTGTAACTTGACAGTGCAAATGATTGTGTTTTCCAATGACACGTTTGAGGTTGGAGAGTTGCTTGTGAAGCCGTCACAGAAGAGGAGCCAGCGTCATACAGCATCCCCAAATGAGCATATCACTTGGCTTTTTGTGTCAAGTTGTGATGACGGATCCTCACATAATGTTGTGTTCACCTGCTTTTTGTGTTGGAATTTCATCCCCCAAAAACCGCTTGCCGGCGAAACCAAACTGCAAGTTTGCCGGCTGCCAAATACAACACTAGTTTGCCATTCACACACACAGCCCGGTCATCAGGATATCACGACATGAGCTCTCGAGGGCTTCTGTCCTTCCATTCCTTTTTTACCGATAATCTACCTTTTCTCTATTTGCAGTCTCGACCATGATTGAACTTTTGCATCTAGTCTTTGATCCCAATTCTTCTCCCCCCATCTCCCCCATTTTCCTCAAAACCCTCTCTCTCTACCGGAGAAAGCCCTTTGGACCGCCCCAAGTTCCCTTGATCATGTGCTTCTTGTACACCCACGGAAAGAAGTCCTTCTTCAGGTGGTAAAACAGCCTATTCGGCACCGCCTGGTCCACGCCCAGCCTCGCAAACGTCTCCTTTGGTTCACCGCCATACTTGAACTCGGCCAGCAGCACTTTGCCATACTCTGTCGTCAGCGGGCACGACGTGTATCCATCATACGTCGCCGGCAGCGGCCCCTCCTCTTCATCCTTCTTCTCCTCCCTCTCCTCCTTTCTCCCTTGCTCCGCCACGGCCAACAAGTTGGCCACGAGCACCGGCGCCTGCGCCGTCACCGCCGCCGCCGTCTTAGCCGTCGGCAGCCCCGCCGCATCGCCCAGCGCCCACACGTTGCCGTGCTTCTTGTGCCGCAGCGTCGCCGCGTCCACGTCCACCAGGCCCGTCGCCGCATCGGCGAGCGGGCTTCGCGCAACAAACGCGTGCGGACCCATCTTGGGCACCGCGTGCAGCAGGTCGAAGCGCCGGCGAATCGTCGTCGTGCTTGTCCCGCCGTCGGCCGCCGCCGCCTCGCGCGCAAAGACGGCCACGTCGCCGTCCACCTCGACCAGGTCGTGCCCAAACAAACCCTCGACGCCGCGCGCCACCCGCAGCGCCTCGAGCGCCGCGCTGTACTTGGGCACGCCAAACATGGCCGGCGCCGCCGTCGCAAACGTCACGCCCACGCCCGCGCCCTCCCCCTCATCGCCGTCGCCGCTAATGCCGGGCCGGTACCTTCCCGCGCGCTTCCAGTGATCCAGCGCCAGCCACATGACCTTTTGCGGCGCCCCCGCGCACTTGATTAGGCCCTTTGGCTGCGTAAACAGCGCCCTTCCCTTCTTCAGCCCCTCCACCGTCCCAAACACCTTGTCCGCGCCCTCGTACCCATACACCGTCGACACCGGCGCGCCCGGGTCCGCCAACGCCTCCGGCAACCCCTTGATGCTAGCATAGTCAATGTGGATGCCCGGACACACGACGAGCTGCTCGTACCGCAGCGTCTGCCCCGTCATCGCCAGCGTCACCGCGCTGTCCGCGGGCTGGAAATCCCGGACAGCCTCGTCGTACAGCGTGAGCTTTGGGTCCAGCACGTCGGCCGTCCGCAGCCGCAGGTCCTGCTTGCGAGCGAGACCCCCGCCGACGAGCGTCCAGCCGGGCTGGTAGTGGTGCCACGGCGCCGGGTCGACGACGGCAATGTCGCCGCGCGCGTAGCGCCCTGAGCGCAGGAGCTGGTGGCTCACGCTGGCGCCGGCCGCGCCGGCCCCGACAATGACGACCTTGTGACTGCGGGACGTGCCAACGACTGGATGAGTAGTGGTGGTGGTGGTGGTGGCGAGCGTTCGAAACCGCGGCGCCGCGACCACGACGACGCGCGAGGGGCAGGCCGCGCGGGAGAGCACCGTCCTGGAAGAGCAAGCCTGCATCATGTTGGCAATGGATGCTGTGCTGTTGCTCAAGGGCACGGGACGCCTAGTCAAGATGGAATTGGACGAGTGGGCACGACAGCAACAACTGATATGGACCTAGTATCAGTAGATGTGGCCAAGTTGGCGTTGACTCTGCCACGCCGTCCTGGAGATGATAATAATTCAATAAAAAAAAAGAGTTTTGTTGTTGTATATGACAATGGTCAGTAAGCAAAAGCTATTCCCACTACATTACCAACAGCCCATTTTTAAATTATCACGTCTTGCCTTTGTCGGGACGCCGTGTATCAATGGCGTGATTTTAGCACCTCTCCACCGTGGCAGATGGCGACGGACCGCACGGCTCGTCGGCCTACTTTTATGTGCAATTCTATCAAGACGACAACGTAATGTTGGCAAGCCTTCATCCGTCCCTATTGGAGTTGTGAGAAATTAGTCCAAGTTTGATATTCAAGTCACAAAACGTGGACCGCTCTTACGTGCTCGCCTTGTTGTAGACTGGCATTTACATACCTCCCCACTGCAGCATTGCGGCTGTAGGGGTAAGATTAATCACATCAAATTGCAATGGTTCAACAGATAAGCCAATCATCTATATTCGTACAAGTATCAACGACTCTACTTGGTCCGTTTTTTTAAAACGAAACTAGACATCGCTAATCGTCATCCCTATATCATGTCCGCACCCTTGGACGATGCATGCAATTATTAAGTTTTGTGCGCCTCTTCGGCCCAAGCCAAAACCTCTGGCAGCCTGGGCCTGATGCAACAGCAATCCTGCCCAAGACCCGCCCATGTTTTATCAACGCGCTTCGTAAAGGGAGAAAGAAGAAATTTTCACCAAGGCGTTGTGTTATCGCAGAAAAACACCCGTTGCCATGACTCCGTTCTCCGCCCCAAGCAAACAGTGTAACGAGAATGTGTTGTGTCAGGAACAAAGGAAATGGATAAGAATGCTGGATACGCTGAGATGAGAATATAATACTGCCCAGTACATATCTTCAGCACTTGTGTGCACCATTTCTGGTATAAACAATAAGCGTCTTATCAAGCTCTAGTTCAGGATGCCCTCCCAGATACCCTGGCCCTGATTAAGGACCGGGCGAGGGTTGGCAGTCTGGAAGCCGGTGACGGCCTCGGTAGAGCAGCACACTCTCTTGTGAGAGGATTTCATGTTCCATGTGACCTCGGGGATGTGGTAGGTGCCATGTAGGAGGTGGCGGACGTTTTCTTGAAGACTGTCGTCCATGAGCGTAGGACGGCTGCGCTTGCGGTTCATGCGAGCAATGGGCGTAGAGCTGGCAGAGTGCAGATCCTGGTTGTGGAGGTCCTGCAGGGCGCGAGCAGCGTCGCAGACAGGGTCTCTAGCCATGTCTTCGAGTTCCTCTTCGCGTCTGGCCAAGGGAGTGTCCAAGGACAGGCCTCCGAGCTTCGCAACCGGGCCGGTATACGATTCGGGCGACGACGAAAAGATGTGCTCATCAGCAAAATCCTCAGGAACGGACGGGACAGTCGGCTTCTGGCAACTTCTCTCACTCATCGACTTAGCCACACGGAATCGCGACGTAGCCATCAACTTGGAGTTGAGGGTCGCGCTAGCGAGGGACGAGACTGATGAGATTGAAGAGGAGCGGGAAGAGCGAGAGACGTCCGAAATCATGGACTCGGGGGACGAGGCAGTGGAGACAGAGTTGGCGAGGGAGGAGCGACGAGGCGGACAGTAGCTAAGAGGAGACGAAGTCGCCGAGATGGGGAGACGGTCGAGGTGTTGAGTACCAGTGACCGAGTGGGCTTGGGCCATGGCGAGACACATGGCGCTGGGCTTCCTGAAGGATCCCACACTCACGGCAGGAGTGCAAAGACCGTTTGTTTGAGGAGTCAGGCGGGGGGTTGGCAGAAGTCCCATAGCAGGCGCAGGGCGGCCGATGGAGTAAGCGGGCGTGCCCATGGACTCCGCAGTTGCAATGGGTGCCGAAATGAAAGCCTTGGGGGTGGCATCGGCGGCAGCAACCATGGCGGCGCGAGCATCGGTAGGGGGGTTGAGGATGCTGCGAGGTCGCAGCGCATCGAGATCGTTTTGCTGAGAGAACGGACCATCAATGTTGGTAAGCTCCGGGTTGAGGCGCAAGATCAAATTCCTCCACTCAATGCTCTGCTGGGAGAGGGCCTGCGTGGCACCAGGCGAGGGAGGTGAGGGAGGCGGTGTGTATTTGAGAACGATCTCGGTCCAGCGCTGAAAGACATCGTCGGCGATGTGCAACTTCCAGTTGACAGCGAGCAGAAAACAGATTTCGTTTTGATTGATTTCAAAAGTGTTGAGACCAGAAATCTTGCTCCAGGCTCGAGCAGAGTAATTGCGATCCTGGAGGTACTTGGAGGCGAGAATCAATGCAGCGAGGAACATGCGACGGCCACACTGGAGAGCGCGGTCGGCATGACGGTCCTCCGGCTGCTCCATGGTAAAGTTGTGCTTGGGAACATGCGGCTTGATCAGGACAAGATAATAGAGCGCAACCTGAAGGGTCGAGTAGCTGGTGCGGGAGCGGCGGAGAGTCTCCTGGATAAAGGTGCGCAAAGGCAAAACTGTCCTGATACCGGGCTCAGAGCGACATGCTGCAGAAGACAGTGGCCAAATGGCCTCGACAATCTGCGTCGACGAGTCTATACGGGTAAGTGTGTGAGAGAAGCATTCCTGAAAGCGCCATGGAGGCTGAGTGGCATAGAGACATACCAACAAGAGAGTCGACAAAGTTGACCTTTCGGTCGCTTTGTCGGACAAGCGGAGGTGGGCAAGCGCCCCGAGCGCGAGATCCGGGGGCTGAGCGGCGGGGATTCTGACGCAGCTCTTTTGGGAGAGGCTCAGAAACGGTAGCCTGGGTAAGAGCAGATCGATAGTTGACCGCCTGGGCAGACACATGATGCTTGCGGTAGTAGGAATCGCAAGAGTCTGAGTCGCAAGTAGAGGAAATCGAGGTGTCATCTGAAGATTGAGAGGCCGTGTCAGACCAGGTAGAATTTGTAGTTGAGACGGAAGAGGTCAAAATGTTGTTGTAAGTGGCATATTGGTTGTGGATGGAGACGTAGGTCGGCGAGATGTCGTTGTCGACCTGCATCTTGAAGAGTGTGTATATAATATTATGAGGAAAGGCTTGAAAGGTGTGTAATGTGTTTCAAGCCGCGTATTGTATTATTCCAGTCGCCGTCTGGCTATGTCAAACCGAGAGACGAATCGTAAATTACCGTTGAGCAGATGTTCAAGATCTTGTGTCAAGTAGAGCTAGCCAATGTCAATGCATGCGCAGAGGCCGATCGACAAAGGCTAATATCCGGGAGATGAGAAACAAGATCGGCTAGATGTCGAAGCTAGTGAAGGCTTTCTTCACACTGACAATGAAACCGGTAGACGAGGCGGAGACGGCGACTGGGATAGTTGTGTAGGGTGCAAGAGGCATTTCGTCAAGACTGTATAATCTCAAGAAATGAGGATTGGTGGTGATGGAAGACCGTTTAAATCAAGTCAACCATTTGTCGGGTAGGAGTGAGGCAGAGAGGATCGAGTCAGACAATGGTCATGAGGCGCAGGCCCGGTGTCGTATGTCGAAAGTGGCGAGGGGAGGGTGAGTCGAACGCCGGGGGTGAGGGACAGGACGCGACCGACGATGATATGCAGGTACGGGTAGGTGATGTGCGTCTGCAGGGGACGGAGCGTCGACCGGGAATATATTTAGCAAAAGGGAAGGGGAGGGAGCAGAGAAATGTGACTCTTTTTACCGTAGCCCAAGACCAAGGCGACGCCGATGGTGACAGCCTGGGAGGCGTTGTGCTGTGTGGATACCGGAAACGGCTGTGTGACTCTTTTGCACGGGTGGCGAAAGACTCAAGAGGCAGTGAGCAACTGTGGTGGTGGCCAGGCGGGGGGGGCTCAGGCTCAGGCTCACTCGGGCTCAGCGCAGCAGGCAGAGAGAGTAATGGCAGTGGGCCACAGGCGGTTTCGGAGGGGCCAGCAGTGAGCGTCAGCGCCGTTGGGAGGGGGGGGTCAAAGAAGCCGAGCTAGAGGGACCTTCTAGGCAGAAGATGACACCAGGCACCTATTCGATTGGACTGCCGTTGGTAATAGCGGGAAAAAATATAGTGGTATGAGTAACACAGGAAAAAGTTCGCTCTGATTTTTTTGCGTATTTGACGAAATAGCGAGGGGTGGGAGGAAAAAAGGTCGCCGGTATCGAGAATTTTCGCAAAGTAGAGGCGGTGTTTCTTGAATGCAGCTGAGCGTGTTTTGCAAAACAACTTTTCCGGGACAAGTCGCAAGGTACAAGTGAATGTCGCTGCGAGCGGGTGTGGTAAGGGCCGGACAAGGTCGAGAAGAAAAAACGTCTTTCAACTGGCGGAAGGCGGAGTATGGTCGAAGGACAAGTCGTTCAAACGGTAAGAAGAAGTAGAAGAAAAGTACAGATTCAACCAAAATAAAATGTCGATAATTAAAAATGATGCGCCGTGGAGTGGAGAGATCAACCAAAGCAGACTTCGAGGAGTCGCTGGTTTTTTTACAGGGCGAGTTCAAACTTCATCGCGACGGCTTCGCAGTTCGATGGGAGGAGGGAAACGAAGAGTCACGGCGAGGGTCACGGCTTAGTTTTGAGGAATCTACGAATGACAAAGGCTGGGGCGGATTCGTCTGGGTGAGTGGCCAACCAAGTACCGCCAGTATGGCGCGGCAGCGAAAAAAGTACCTAAGCTGGCATCGTATTACGGCGGGCGCGCGAGGTAATGCGGTGGTGGTGCTGGTAACTGATCACTGCAGAGGAGGGGGGGGATTGCCAGACTCCCCTTGATTTCAATTTGGTTCAACTCGCCACGGCGATGTTGACAGAAACGGACTAGCGCTCCTTTCCGACACCACTCCATTGGTCCCGGCGATCCCAGGTGCTCCGCCGTTTGGATGGGGCGAGGCCCAGCAGGTAGCCATTTGGGCGTGGCTGCGATGAGCCCCTTGTTGATGAGTGTACCCAGTACCCGAGGCTGATTGTGGCTCAGGCGATTGTCCGCTCTCGCCAGCCAGCTAGACCAAAAGATGGTGGCTTGCATGTCCGGTATCTAGTACGAATGCTGCGAAAGCGTTGCATCACACTCGCAGCACCAACTTGTTCTCATGCTTCTCTAAATACTTGCCGCCGTTTTATTCCTCCCAGGGGCAGTAATCTGTATGATTCATAAATGCATGTTGGCATGGTAGAGAACTTGGGCTTGGACGCCAAACTGGCTGGGCGAACAGCCAACTGACGGACCATGGTTGCAAAGCCCAGCAAGTAGCATTACTCGTCTTTCGCCCATGGTTCCCGCAGTGGCGATATGACTCCTCTCACATTCACGATGAGCATTCTTTCCCCGCAACCTACTTACAACACGTCGCTTCTCCGTTTTGTCTGCCAAGTGTGGCCTGTTTAGTGGCCATGCGCAATCGCGTTAGCCTTCGAAGAGGGGGGCATTTCGCAGCGCATGCATCAAGTCGCCAGGCGCCCGGCACTGCACGAGAGTTTTTCCTGCAACTTGGCAAGACTTTGTTGCTTGCTCACTTGCATCATCGCGCATTTGAAATTTTGTACCAGGATACTATCTATGTATTGCCACGGGCATCTTGGCCGCCACCCGCGTTTGGCTTGGCGTGATTGACAATGAACAAACTTTTTTAACTTTTCCTCGCTTGCAGTTTGCCATCCGCAGTTGGCCTTGTCCCCTTGTCAGGGAACCCATGGCATACGTGTGGCAAGTCAGAGTGTGCACCGCCCAATGATAATGTTGGCCTCTTGATGCCTGAGGACAATACTCCGCGGCCAGACGTACCCGGTACTCGTGGGCGGCGGCAGAATCACGCACAGACAAGCGATGAGTGCTGCCCTGTAATTTGCCACATGGCCACTATTTACCACTCTTACCCTGTAAAGCTTGGAAGCCTCCAGTCAAATGATGTAAGCGAAGCTGCATGCATCGGAATATCGGAAGAACCTCTGGGGTGAGTTTCTCTAATTTCTGTTTTTACATTCTAATCGGGTCCGGGCGTCATCAGTCAACGAAAATTGGTTTGGCCAGGTCAAATCATTAGTTAGATCTGCTGCGGTTGCGGTCATCGCCGAAGCACCAAAGACAAAGTAGCCAGGACCAGAAATCACCCCGCCGTTAGTAATGCCCAACGGTGAGTGGCTGATGTCTTTTCAATTCAATGTGGCCACTCATCCACCGCCTTCCATATCAAGACTCACACTTACTCCGATCATGGAGGCATGGAAGAGTTTCAACCAAGAGCAGCAAAATCACTGCTATGATGGTGGCATTTATGCAAACATGTAAATTTTCCCACATCAAGCAGTGCTGGTCGTTCCTCTTTCTGTTTCTTCTTTGTCGCATCCAACCATGCGTCCAACGAAGTACAATTATCAGAGAGGGGATGTTGCTGACTCGAGCGCCAACCGTTGTCGCAGAATGTACACCGGTTGACCAGTGACCAGGATAATGGTAACCTGGCATTTTATCGGTATGAGATTGTATGGGTTGTCACCATCGCAGCTTCATCACCCGCAGTACTGATAAATCGTCTGTCATTTTCTTCTCGACAGTCCTGGTAGTCCACCCTTGGGTACATAGGAGCATGGCTATTTTACCGCCGAGACAAGCACTAGACCTCCGAGGTAAAGCCACACCCAGTGGCTTGGCTGCCAGAGATTTATTGAAAGCTGCGCTCTTGTCTCAAAAGGATGGCCGGAGACTTCTTCTCCATTGAGCTGCTCGAATAGAAAAGACAGGTATGTGTGAGAACATGCCCTCTCTTTTGTGAAAATTTTCAGTAATGTCAAGTGTAAATGCTTGCCCTCCCCTGTGTTGGATGCTCTAGGCTGTTTAGCGTTCAATCCACTTGAAAAAACATCATCTTGATGCCCGAGTTTGTCAAGCCTAGCCTCTACTCTACCATTACTTCGCTGCATTCGTGGCCGGACGGAATTCAGCCACCGGTTGACCATTCCGGGCCTGGGTTGTTGCGCCCGCCCGAGCCCGCCGGAGAAGCCGCTCTGCGTTTCTAGTTATACCCAACCAACCTAATACTCGCTAGTCTGCAGCGTATTGTTGCTCATGTTGCTGCGGACTTTCTTTGCCGCCGGCGCAACACTACGACTACCTAATCTGGCAGTCATTGGCCCGTAGCATCAAAGTGTCAAGCGAGCCTCATGTTAAGCCGCCGACCGTTGCCCAGCCGTTCAGGCCATGCCCGATTTCCCATCTTCTTTCTTGCTAGTTCCGAAGCTGAAGGAGGTATGGCTTGGGGGTTCGACTTTTGTCTTCCTAAGAAAGCCCCCAAAGGAGTTCTAACTGGTTCTCTCCGGTGACTCAACTGACCCCGTCCCCAAAATGGCGCGATTCATGGTGACAGAGTGGCCAAACCCCACCCCCAGCTTATCAAGGCTTCCTTCACTGATTTTCACAAAACTGTTTGACAGTGAGAACAGTAATGTGCGACTGCCCAACTAGGCGCCAGGCAAGCCAGGGTTGCTGGCTGCCTAGAATATATGCCCATGGGCAAAACCGTCTGAGCAAGAAACTTCTTCGTGGCGGGATTCATGGGGGCTGCAGCCTAGTCATGCACGTCATTCTCGCCTTTTCTCCCCTTGCAACTTTCCGTGGCTGGCTGGCGGACGCGAGGCTCCGAGTCGCGCATGAATCTACGTGATTTTTTCACGGCACGCGACAGCTGACAAGTTGTCAGGCATGAACAAGCTGAGGACTCTGATACGAACCCCTGCCCCCTCCCATTTACAGATTGCTGCGGCGGGTTGCCTCTTCCAACTAGTTAGCAGAGTGAGAGCTCTTGGGGTGTTGCACATACTGCACACTTCCCTCAGCACGCGGACAAAGGCAAAGACCTTTTTTTTTTTTTTTTTTTTTAAAAAACAAAAAAAAGAGGGAGGACTCTCGTGATAGAATTACGCGTAGCGTAGACCTTGTCGTTCCTACCGCTTCGGCGCCCGCCTAGCCAACAGCACACACCCAGACTAGGCTGCAGCCGCCTCGGCGCCTACCTACCCACCTCACATCTGGTCAATATGTCTTCTTCTTCTTCAACGACAAATTGGCCAGGAGACTTGATTTTTGCGTACTCAGTAGTGATTTGCCCGGAAAACGCCCTGGAGAACCCCGATGTAGGTCGCAGATGATGACCTGCTGCTGCTGCCGCTGCTGCTGCACAGCCCGCTAGCATCTTTGGCTTGTAATACAAATACAGCCACGCTCTTGTCCCCTCCTCGCCCCCGAAAGCGGACCGACGCGGAGGATTTCAAAACAAATCGAGATGCTCACCATCTACGGGGAGGCGGAGGGCTTATTGATTCGCCATAATCACCCTACACCTTTTTTTTTCTACTGAATACCGTCATGTACGGAATACGCGAGATGATCGCGTCCTCTCCAGTCGCGCGCGCCTGGCCGACTTACAGTGGCCGCTCCGACATCGCCCGTCGGACGCGCCGCATAAGCCACGCCAGGGGGGGCTGTGTGTTTGTCTGAGTCTCAATCTCGTGATAATGCGCTCGTGACAGATCATACTGATCAATCCACCTCTGACAGGTTTCTTACCAAAGTTTACACTTTGATTGGGCGGAATTTCGTTGCACTCCGAATTCGCTGCAAGGCAGCACGAGAGGAGTCGAGACGCATGCAGCGTTTGCCGTCCCCTCGACCACGGATCAGTACCTAGCCCCCGCCGAAACAAACACCTGGCTGTTCGATCCGTCTGCTCTGTCCACATTGCTTCGTACCTAATATCGAGGAAAAAGATGGCGGTGGTGTATGATGGCCAACACTTGATCAGCTCGCACCAAACTCGGGCCGCCTCACTCTTTGTTCTTCCCCTTTCGTTCCAATTCTTTGTGCAACATATGACACGGTAAACGTAATAGGCAGCAACTCTTTGTAGTACCACTGTGGATGCTCTCGTCGAGCATGACTCAATTTTGCTCGTTGGCTGAGGCTGGTTAGAAGCCTGCTGGGCTATGAAAACCCAAGGTGTCATTATACGGGTGGCGCAATAAGCTGTGTGAATGCAAACTTGCTCTGGAGAGCCATGGCGGCGCGCAGCCATATCATCATCTGTTTACAATGTGCACAGTGTATTCGAAATCTCGCATCTTAATCTCATTGTAAAATTAACCTAGCAAATCCCAAACGATACAGCGGCCACATACAAATCATTCCCTTTTCATCACCTGTTTCCCGGTTTCTGATTCATCGGCCCCTTTCCAGCAATGGCCGTCACATCGTGTGAACCGTGCAAGTAACATTTCGTCATCTAAGAAGCCATGTAGGTGCTCGCGTCAACACCCTCTTTGGGAAACTCACTATCGTCGAGTTAGCATAAACACATCTCCTTGGTTCGAGAGGTAGCACTTACGGAAGAGCAACCTCAAAGCGCTTCTCAATCTCGCCAAGCACCTTCTGGTCATCCTCGCTGCTGATAAATGAGATGGCGAGACCCTTGGTACCGAAACGACCGGCGCGACCAACACGGTGAAGGTAAGAGCTGGCATCAGCGGACAAGTCGTAGTTGATGGCCAGATTGATACGCTCGATATCAATACCACGACCAAATACGTCTGTGGCAACGCAGATACGCTTCTTGAACTCCTTGAACTCCTTGTATCGGCGAATACGCTCCTCTTGGCTGACGCCCGAGTGAACAGCAATCGAAGGGAAATTGCATTCGCGAAGCAGCTTGTCCAGCTCGGTAGCGCGTGCAGTGCTCCTGACGAAGATGATGACCTGGTTAAACTGGAGTTCATCGAGGAGGTCGTTAAGCTTGCGGTTCTTCTCCTTCTCGTCAAGCTTGATATAGTACTGCTGCAGACCGTGCAGCGTAAGCTTGGTGTCCTCATCAACGTAGTGCTCGGTGGGGTTCTGCATGAACTTTTTGCAGATGGGCTTGACCTCCTCGGACAGAGTTGCTGAGAACATCATGACTTGCTTCTGGTGAGGAGTGGCGCGGAAGACGTCTTGGACGTCAGTGCGCATGTCTGGGAATGGTTAGTCTTTCTCTTGCGCGTCGATGCTGTTCAGGGTGGCGTACCAGGTTGGTCGAGCATCTTGTCACATTCGTCAAGAACGAAGATGCGAACGCTGCCAAGGCGGAGAGCCTTGTCGCGAACAAGAGCCTTGAGACGACCAGGAGTACCGACGATGATGTGAGGGCAAGTATCCTTGTTCTTGAGAGTCTCCACATCGGTCTTGATGGGTGTACCGCCGTAGAAAACACCAGTCTTGATGTCAGGCATGTACTTGCTGAAACGGTTGTACTCGTCGCGAATCTGGTAGGCCAGCTCGCGAGTGTGGCACATGACGACAACTGAAACCTCGCCGTTGACTGGCTCAACCTGCTGCAGGGTGGCGAGAACAAAGACGGCAGTCTTACCAAGACCAGACTTGGCCTGGCAGATGATATCACCACCGAGAAGAGCCTGAGGAATGCAAGTTTGTTGGACTGTCGATCGAGGGAACGTTAGAAATGTGTGTCTTGCTAGGTGGAAACGAAACGAGCGGCGTAAGGGTGAGAATGAGTCCGTCCATCGTCGCAATGCAGTCGCAGGTTCAAGATCAGATGCACGGCCATGCAGGCACAGTCCTGACGGGGAACAGACATCAAGAACCTTATCCAAGGCCTTATCGCGAGTCTGACTCTCCATGTACTATACCGCGATTGATGTCAATGGGCTATTGCGCACCAACCGAGGGAGTTCGCCTAGCCGTATTTCACCAACGGTCTGCTTGGCGTCTTACGCCAAGAGAATCTCCCACCAGGACTCGCGCTTCGCTTGTAACTTTGTCGTTTCAGGACAATGACAGCGAGAGGAATCGCCCAATGCGCTGGAGCGCCCGTTCTTCAAGAGAAGAGCTGTCCTGAATGGCCAGCCTCGTTATGAAGTAGCGCATTCACAATCGTGTGGGCTGGAGCCGTATTTCAGGTACACCAGAATCCACGAAGTAAACCAGAAGGCTTAGAGGCCTGTGCGACATTGATCCAAAGTCTTGCTTTGTTCCAAGCGCGACCGGAAAGCTCAAGACAGCTTGCGTTGTCCTTCAAGACCCCAAAACCAGTGCGATTTTCTGTTGCGCGCATATTGCGAGATGGACGGACACTTTCCTCTTCCGTTTTCATCCTTTGTATCAAGAAAGGAGGGAAAAAGGCGAGGAAACAAGGAGGGGGGAGGGAGTAATTGATGCTTTGTTTGTGGGTAATTAGAATGTGTGCGATGATTCAAGACTGACCCTCCGATGGATGCTCGAAACCACAGTCTCCGATGGCGCGCAGAAGCTCGGGCTTCAGCAGAAAGTCGCGAAAACCGGTGGAGTGGATGCCGACATAGCTGCCCTTCTTGTCGACGTTGCTGTTGGCGGCGAGCTCGCCCTTCTTGGTCGCGGCGTTGGCGGTCTCGTTGGCGCCAATCTCCTCGTCGGAGTAGTCAATGAGATCCTCCTCGTGAGACATGATGGGCGGTGATTGATAAATGTGTGTTACGCGGCTGTTTCTTGATAATCAAATCCAAACAGACAAGTGCAATCGACAAGCTGCGGTCGTATATAGATCTTCGAGATGATAGGTCGTATCGTCCAGCGGCGCGCGGGCGAATTGATGAAAAAAAAGCCTTTGTTTGGCTTTTGTTGTTGGTGGCGACTCGAGTTTTTGTGAACAAACGCAAGTCTGAGGACGCTGAGGAAGCAGCGGAAGAATTAGACAGCAGTAAGAAGAGGTCAATAGTTGAAGAAGGAGGAGAACGTGTCTGATCAAATAGAAGAACAGCGCGAGATTCCCGGTAATCTGTTCAGAAAGCGATGACTGATGGGGGGGAAGGGAAGAACGGGGGAGCCGGGCTGTTCAAGTCATGCAAGGGAACATGGACCACCTAGAGTGAAACCACGTGACCCAGGTGCCACCAACAAGGCGTGGCGCACTAATCAATGTGAATGGCTGCCTGCCTCCGCACGCTGGCACGCTAGACTTTGATGGGCAAAATTTGCGATTACCCAGTGTCACTCGCACTCACGCACGGCTCAAATCATGACCTAAACTTTGCTGGAAAATGAAACGCAAATCTCATCTTGTTTGTGAAGCATAAAAAAATGGCAAAGGCAAAAGCACCACCAGGCGTGCAAAATAAACACATTTACGCCAGAGCGTCATACCTCTACCAGGCCGCTGCTTTTCTTGCCACTGCGTCCTTCCCGCCCGCGCCTCGCACCAACGATGGCGCACAAGCAGCAAACAACCACGGCAATGACGCATTATCAAAAGACATGCATCAATCGCCCTCGGCAAAGGACATAACACACCCGCCCGCGGAGAACCGCCAGCGCAGAGCCCTGCAAAACATGTCTCGGAGCCTCCTCGTCGACATGCGCGCCGTCTCGGCCAAGGTGCTGATACGGCAGCGTCCCGGCCTCAAGCGCACCATCTGCCGATACTGCGACGCGTTGCTCGTCGAGGGCCAGTCCTGCGATGCCGCCATCGAGAACGCGAGCCGCGGCGGGCGCAAGCCGTGGGCCGACGTCCTCGTCGTCCGCTGCCGCGCGTGCGGCGGCGCAAAGCGCTTCCCAGTCGGCGAGCTTAGGACGAAGCAGGTGCGTAAAGGCCTGCGGCAGCCAGCAGGAGATAAACAGGAGCAGGGTACCGTGACGACAAGCGCGTGATGAGAAGAAGCAGACCAATTGTGCGTCGAGACGGCGGCGGGTGCGAATGGAAGAGAAACCTGCATTAGGAACAGAAACTTGATACCCGGCGCAAGCCACCACCATACAATGAAATAGAACGCGTGAAACATCAATCACGAGGCCATTATTATGTACAAAATCGTTGCCGTTCAATTTACTTTTCTTTCTCTTTCACACTCTCTTCACCGAGCACCCGACTCGCCGCCATGAATCTGCATCGCATCAATAAGTTGCTCATGCTCTTTTGCTCAACTTGTAAACCAGGACAAAAGAAAAAAAGAATACTTACAACGCTCCGTGCCAACTTCCCAAACCTCTCATAGCCTCCGCCTGCACACTCGTCATGCGCAGCAGGTTTTCCGTATCCGATAGGTTGGCCGACAGCTGCGCGAGCTGCGAGTGCAAATGGCTCTGGTGCGCGAATCATTAGCTTCTTTTCCTTCTTCTTCTTCTTTTTTTATGTTCCTCATGTACTGCTTAGAATGGAAAACTGGGGCATACTAAAGGACCAAACGTACCAGCTGTCTCGACTTCATCTGCCCACCCGTCGCCGCGAGGGCCATGCTTTGTCGATTTCCACCAATGTTTCTCGTCGCCATTTTCAGAATCTCGTGTGCACAACACGGAAATCACGTCGGTGTGCCAATTGCAGAAAGTAGGAGTCCTTTTAAGATTTGACGAAGCTCGATGCTTTCGACACTGCCGCTTAGAAAGTATCAACTTGCTTTGTTGACGCTGGTCTCGCCTTGACTGCCCAGCAGTAGGACCTTTGAACAAGGGTACACTTTAATGCTAGCTGCAGATGACTTAGTCTGGTGTGTTTCGAGTTCAACGGTGATGATTCAGTTGTTCTTCTCCAGGCTATTGCATCGTTGTATAAGTTGCTCGGTACAGCCTTGACGCGTCGTAGCCTGCCACTCCAAATGCTTTCAGCGTCCAGACCCACGTGACACAGTTGCTACCATCAGCATCTTGTGTCATAAGGTAGGTAACAGTATGCTCTCGCTGGCAGTTTACGCACAGGGATGAAATTTGTACCAAAGTTTGTGATAGTCTGAACTTCAAATTATTCAAGTGAGGCGTCCTATTATTCGGACGCTCCAATATTCGCTATCTTGTGCACTTGTGTACCACCCACCCATGTCGAACCCCTTGGGTCACATCGTCCTGGAGATCAAATATCTCATGCCACCATTTCCGGCGCTGCCATCGCCACACATCGTTCCAGAACGATACAAAGAATTAGCGTATAACCAGACAGTATTATAAGAAACAACAAAAAGGAAAGAGAAGAAAGCCCCCAAGACTCTAATATGTGTGTTTGTGAGTAATAAAACAAGAAAAAAAATGCCCATCGTAGTTCCCGGAGGGCGCCTATATCACGGTATGGATGCTGCCTCATGAAGAAATCTTCAAAAGGGAAAAGGGTAAAACAATAAAAGAAAAACACCAGGAAAATAATGTCCACCAACACTGTGCCCAATCTACCGTTCGCGCCATGCGTATTTTTGAACTTAAGCAACCATTGTCCCGGTTCATCAAAGATGTTGGCAGGTGATGCCGTGTAATAGGCGACCGTGATGAACAAGGGAGAACCAAACCGCCAGTTGGTAATTGATCCTTGCCCAAGTCGACCGAATCGATATATTGAAAGCGAAAAATTGGCGTGTTCTCGCTCAAATGCATCATTGTCAAGACAGCTGAGCGTTTGCTGCCGTTCCTTCTTTTTGGCCATATGTACAAGACTCGGCAAAGGCCACGGGAAAAACCAAGAGGTCGTCTGTTTCTTTTTTTTTGGCGTCTTTCGCTATTGCCAAATCAAGCCCAACTCCAACGCTGTGTTAATTTTTCGCAATTGTAAAGCAAAGAGGAAATCAAGAAGAAAGATTCATGGCTAGTCGGGCCTGGCGGTTTTTTGACGCGTAGCGACCGTAGCATCAGCACCTATAGGTCTCCGGTGACACTTTCGTCACAATTCGAGCTATTAGTGGACGCTGGTGACGGCTGGTCGCGCAGGAGGTAGGCTGGCCTGGCTGCTACGTGCCGAATTTCCGGAGTCGAGTTCACCACTGCCCGCGCTAGCACTCGCACTACCCGTCAGACTTCGCACATTTCTAGTCTTTGATGGATGAAGGGCGCTCACCCCAATATGCTGTTCAACTTGTTGAGGCGCAACGGCGTTGCCTTGGCCTGGAGGATAGCGAGGAATGGGCTGTCGAACGCCCTCAGGTGGAGAGGGGCGCCCATTCATGGGAGGTCCGTACCCGTTTGGGGGCGAAGGTCTACCGCTACCGCCACGCATCGAAGGGCTGTACGGGTTGCCAGGAGACTGGCTTGCGCGACGTCCAAAGTTCATGCCTGGAGGGCCACCGGGAGCCTGGCCGTATTGCAGCTCATCAAGTCTCGAGGCCGTCAGTGAGTTGGCTCGGGAGCCGCCGTTCATAGTGCCTCGATCGACAGTACCATAGCGATTCGACGAGCAGCTCATAAGTGGATCGTCTAGGATATTGTCTGTCATCATAGGTATCGATGAAATCTGGCTTGAACGGTTTCGGCCAAAACTGGGTCGAAATCGGCTACCGCGGGAAGGTGGAGGAGCATCAAATTCGGGGTTGCGGCGAATTTGTGCGGGAGGAGGACCGGAAGCTTTACGATTTTTGCGTGACGTTACGCTCATCATGTCAAAGTTGTCGGCGTCGATAGCGGGCATTGCGGGACCCATGGGAGGGTCGAAAAAGTCGTCATCATCGTCGTCATCAAACATCTGAGTGCTGTGGCGCATGGGATGAGGGCCGCGGCGAGGACCAGGAGGGCCAGGAGGAGGAGGGCCACGTCGCATGCGCATCTCTTGGTCTTTGAGGGCCATTTCTCTCTGTCTGAGCTGCATTTCCCTGTCACGCAGAGCAACGTCACCTCCGTCGGCAAAGTCTTGCTCGTGACCTTCAGGTATATCGTCGTACAGGACGAGATGAGAGAATTCCTCGAGATCATTGCCGTCCATGGATCCGCGTCGAGAGGGGGCTCGAGATCCGCCGTTCATATGCGGTGGCGGACGGCCCATACCGTTTGGGCCACCATTCATAGGAGGAGGTCCACGACGCATGGGACCCGGGGGACCGAAGTTGGAGGAGTTGCGGGGACGGACTTGGCGCGGTGGCATACCATTTCCATTCGGCATGCCGCCCATCATGGGGCGGTGGCCATTCTGGGATGGCATACGCGGAGGTTGACCGACCGTGGGGGAGCCGGGGGGGATGGCACCGGCGACATCTCCAGTCTTGGGACGGTTTCTATTGACCACGTTCAAGTTGTGCATAATGGCATAGAGCGTCTCAATTCTGGGAACGGGAATCTTGGCTTGGTGCGCCAGCTTGATGGGGGATCCCAGATAAGTCTCGATCTCCATTGGGCGTCGAGCGACATAGTCTTGCCACATGATGCTTTCCGGCAGGTTGGTCTTTGTCATGTCGTCCATTACCCTCTGCTTGAAGTCAAGGTCAAATTTGCAGCCGTTGGCCTCGGCGAGGAGAAGAAGCTCATCAATGATGCCAGTGACCATGTCCTTGACACCAATCTTGTCCAAAAGGACAGACTGGTTGGGGGTTTCAAAAAGCACGCTGACGGGGTGGAAAGCAATCGGGCTAGAGGACGGCAGTTAGCGGACGTGGAGACGAATAAGCACCAGACGGGAAATAACTTTACCCAATAACGCGTTCATATTGCTGCTGACGTATGTTGGGTGACACCTTGCAGTCGACTTGACCGGTGCTCAGAGTCATGGCGAGAGCCTGTGCCATGTCCTCCTGAATAGCTTTGGGGATGTTGCTCTGCTGATTGACCGGGCCGACCCAAACACTAGTCGAGCCTTTGTGCTCGAATTCGCTTGGGCCGAGCTGAGTAAGCTCGGCACCGGATACTAATGAGAGAACGACATTTGTGGGATAGCGATCTTCAATGGCAGCTTCGACGCCGAGCGTATGTGTTGTGTTGATGAGGATACAGGTATGTTGGGGGGTGACGACAGAATCGATGACGGCCGCCAGGTCATACACGTCGGGCAGGGCCTTGACACACAAGACGACGTAGTCGAAAGGGCCATCGCGAACAGTGGAAGCGTCTTCGGGGTTTCGGACGACTGGGAAGGATCAGTATCAATTTTCGATTGGAGGGGGGTAAAAGTAGTCATCGATTTCCTGGATGTCGATCGAATACGCACCGTGTCGTGGTTTGAAACGCTCATTGCCAAAGACGGGCGACCTGAAAAAATTATTAGCGACATGATGGTGGGCAAGAGGCTGTCGGCCGGGTGCGCCGGATGTGAGAGCAACGTACTTGAAAGAGATGCCATATTGAGAGACATGCTCGAAGCCCGATTTCCAGACTAGAGTGACGTCGCAGGCGTTTGTCGCCTGAAGTCGCCAAGAGAGAAAGGCAGAGACTGGGTTTCCGCCAACTGAACAAACTTGCATTAGCTCAACGTCGCTCATGATGGGCAAAAGAGCCGATGCGTGGCGGAGAGCAATCGCCGGGCGCAAGTAATGCGAAAGGAATCAAAGCAATGCCGCAACGAGGGCGTGAGAAGGGATGCTCAATTGGGGTACAAATGAAGGAAAGTAACGAGAGAATGGAGGGTGAGATAAAAGTCTGAATAGTAGTACAACGACTGGTATGCAACGAATAGATAAGAGACTAAGTGGGCTGGAGAAGAAGGAAAGGCGGCAGCCCCAAGGAAAGGTAAGAGAGTGTGGTGACAGGCAGAAGATGTATCTTTTTAGTATGCGCCAGCAAAGCAACCAGGGTATATTAACTTGCACGGCAGCGAGAACAATGCAATGCAGAGAGAACAGGAATTTGGGGATGGGCTGTAGGTTTTTTCTGGGAGGGGGGTGGGAGGGGGTGGATGAGTCGGGTTTGGGCTGATGGGTGGACGAACCTGAAAGAATCTTGAGACGGGGCGTCATAGGTGCCATGATTTAGTAGGTAAAGCCCGAAGCGGTCTAGCGGACTTGAGCGGCGGCCAAGCGTTCTCAAGAGGTGCAAGTCTAGGAGCTCTGGCAGAGTAGAGCTAGCAAGACAGCCGTCGAAACAGGGACGGCCAGGTAATTTGGCCGCGCAAGGTCGAAGCGCGGGACGAATGGCTGATAGACGGCTCGATAGTTGCTATCGAAGCTGTCAAGGAGCAAGCAAAGAAGGCAATCTCGGGAGACGGTCAAAGGGGGGTATGATTCGGCGACGATGGGATCTGAATGCGAGGTGACAGGGGCGGCTGAAAGCGAGCCTGCAGAGCTGGTCGAGTGGGAGGGTCGGCAAGAGATGGAGCAGCAATGCCAGGGGTGTGTGTGTGCACTGTGGTGACAGACGCGGAGCGTCGTAGCTAGGTAGCGTAGACGGAATGTGGTGGTATATCGTCAAAGACGGGCTGGCGTGTGACGACGATTGAATGATGGTGGGCCGAGCGCAGCAGTTGATGGCGAGACAAGACGCGTGGAAATTTGTTTAAAGAGACTGGCCGAATAGGACAAATGAATCCAGAGCAGAGCAGTAGCAGCGACAGAAAGCAGTGATGGAAGGGGCCGTGAGTGTGTGCACCATGTGGCAGCTTCGCAGTGCCTGGTGCGATGGAGCAACGATGGAGCAGCGTGTTTCCGGTAATAGGGATTTTCAAACGAGTGACTGAAAAAGACTGGCCCGGGCGAGCTGGGACGAGCGAGGCTAGGCAACGTGGTTGGCCAGAGCGGGTGGACAAAAACTGCGACGGCGTCAGAATTCTAGGCTACTAACTTTTAGTAGCGCACAGAGAAGGTGGGAAAGAGAGAGGGGGGAATGCTGCGACGTTGGGACTGGGGCTAGGACGACGAGCAGCGAGTGAGGACGAGCAGGGCGCAATAAGCAACACGGGAGAGAAAGACACATAGAGAGAGAGAGCAAGGCAGGCTGAGATGCAATATGAGGGAGATGCAGTACTAGGCAATGAGAGAGTGTGAGAGAGTGGACGGCACAGCGGAACGACAAAGCCACGGACCAGGATGTTGACGAGGACCAGCGATGGTGGGACGATGCGAGTGGGCAGACGGGGAAATGAAGACGAGGATTGATTGCAGCAAAACGTCGAGGGGGTGCCAGAATCAGAATCTGGGTCGCAGACATGCGTAGAGTCGTGGGCCGTTGGTTTGGTAATCCGCGCCTGCAGCGGACAATTGTGGGCTTTCTTCTTTTTTTTTCTTCTTTTTTTTACCTCTTCTTTTTTTATTCCACTTTCTTTTATTCCCCTTTATTTTTCTTGCCTTTGCTCGGCGGGCGTGGGGCGAGCTTATTGGGGAGGGGTGGTATTGCCACTGCATTCAGTGTTGATGGTGTTGATGAGAAGGTACCTATATCAATGATACCTCGATACCAGTCAAGGAGAGAGAATTGACTGTTGGAGGGACAGCGCCATGCAGGCAGGCAGCAAGGCAGGTAAAAACCGGCGACAACAGAGCAGCAGCCATTTCGGCAGGTGGCTGGGGCTTGCAGTGACCCAAAGTGTTCAAGTACCCAAGTACCCACCTGCCTTACCTCCCAGAGTCACTGACGCCGGGCCTGTACCTGCACCTCATGGTCACTGATCTGCATCAGCACAGAAAAAATAGCTCGGCAATGTCCAGTAAGCTCAACAGTCCAAATGCCTTCATCTCTCAGTACTGGCCGCAAATCGCTCGTTCCCTGAGTTGAAAGGGGCGCAGGCTGCTGCAGCGGGTGGCACTGCACTGTCGTGTCCCACTGTTTAGCCCTGTTGCGCTGAAAATAGGCCTTGCCTGTGTGCCTGTCTGGGGGGCGGAACCCACGGCTTCACCAATTTGAACCTCGAGAGGGGGCCTCAAGGAGGGGCCTCCAGAGGGTGTGCCATTTTGTCTGTGGGTGTGGGAAGGATTTATCCAACTAGGTACTTCCCAGCATGCAGCAAGGAGGAAAATAGTACTTCACCAAGGGGGGACCCAAGGTCGACGTCAAGCAGGCTTTTTCCGTCAAGCAACTGCTTCAAAGCCAGAAGCAAAATTGCATTCAAGGATGCAGGCACTGGTCTGGGCCTCGACAAGCTGTTGGCAAGTGCAATCGATATCAGGATTGAACACCATGTCCTTCATCAGGGATGGAGAAAAAATGCCAGGCAGTCTGAGCAAGCCAGCGAGACAACCTCTCTCAACGGATTGGCCGGAAGCTTCAAAGGCACGCTCAAAGGCAGTAGCGCGATGCAGTATCCGCATTTTCCCAGTTCTGTATCCTGAGCAGCACTTTGAAGAGAGACAAGAAATCCTTTTAAATCGGGCCCTTTGCTGTTTGTCGTGCACCATTAATTCCTCAGCAGCGCCGTTGCCTCGGCCAGGACACTCGTCGCTGGCGCGCAATGTCTCTGCTATTCCAGCACTATTCGGTGTGTGGTGGAGAAGAAAGACCTGCGACAGTATGCGATCTCACTCGAGTGAGCATACCTCCCTCTGCTTGCCATTGCGTAGGTCCCGTAAGAAGTTGCATCTTTTGCATCTTTTGCGTCTTTTGCCTCTGCTGATTTCGTTTGTGCATTTATTTTTTTGTCCTTGTCTTGTGCTCTGTTGGTGTGCTCACAAGTGGGCTCCAGAGCGGACCGTGTGTAAGAAACAAGTTAGTACTCACCAGTAGCGTGTTGTAGTCTAAACTCTGTAGATTCCGAATCAGGCACGACCTTGTCAAACAAGAAGACAATTGTGTTACGAAATCCTCGGGCGGCTCGATATGGATGGCTCGATCAGGTAGGCGAGCTGAAGCCTGCTTCGATAGTCGCTGCTGCAAGTCGTCGCAAGACTTGGTCGTAACACTGCAACTGCGAGGCTGTGGAATGACGAGCGTATTTTTTTTTTCAGTACTGGCAGTGTTCATCAAGTATCGGCAACCGATAATTCAAGAACCAGCGGCCAAATTCGAAATTGTTTCGTCGGTCTCTTTTTTGCTTCTCGATCGAGGCAGCTGTATAGGCTTGGTAGAATCTTCAAGTGGGCGGGTGATTTGCGGGTCCCGCCTCGGGAGCACGGGAGGCTGTCGAAGATGGCAATCGTCAACGCCGAATCTCGTGCGCTATGTTTGTCGGTCGAGAATGTTTCGCTATCGAAAGTCGCTATCGAGAGGAAAAGAAGTCGATTTGGCTGATGGATGGAGAGCCCTTGATCGGTGGGCAAACGGCTCGGATACTAGATGACGACGACGACGACGCGACGTTATGCTCGCTATCATGTGTATGGTCGGCTTGCGAGTTTCGCTCGTGGTATAGCTGTCTCTTGGCTTTTCAGATTGCTCAGATTGACCGCGAAGAGAGCCCGATAGATCTAGGTCCTTTGTTCGTGGACAAGTATATCCGGCGCAAAGGAACAGTTCCCGAGGAAGGAAAACACTCCAGATGGTCGGGAGAGGAAGCCCAGGGGAGGTGACGAGGACAAAAAGAACGAGCAGAGAAACCCAGACCAAGCACTGAATCGGGGAAAAAAGAAAAAAAAGAGAGAGAGAGAGAGAGAAGCTGACAGAGCGAAAAAGAGAGACACCAGGGCGGGGACGCGGTGAGAGTAGAGCGGTAGAGCGAGGGTAGAAAAAAATAAGAGACTGGTCAAGCCACAAGTTGACCAGCAAGTAGTTACATGGACGGGGAGAATACGAGGCTGGCTGCGTCAGGCTCCCAAGCGTAAACCCAAAATGGCCTAAGAACTGACAACGAGTTGACAGTATTTAATGTATTTTTTTTCCTAACCCATGCCCTTTGAAAAGCAGTGGCTCGTCGCCCTTGTTCAAATGTTGTGTTTGGTCAACCAGCAAGAGAAACATTGGGCTGGCTATTGGCGGCGCACCCACTAAAATCTGGGGAAGAAAAAAAGGGTTGAAGGGGCCATTTGCTTGCCAGCAGCAGCAAGTAGCAGCAGCCCGAAGCCGAATCCAACGCACATGGGACCGCTCATAAGCTCAATTACAACTTTTTTTTTTTTCCCTTCTTGCTGTTGCTGTTGAGACTTGTGCCATGCAATCATGGCGTGGTTGCGCGTTACCAAAATGGCCTACATGCATGGCTGCCCAGGCGGTCCATGACTTGTTGTTCGATTTTTTGGCCGCCCGTTGATTGATAGAGGCTTGCCAAGCCGTTTGTGTGCCCTTGGTCTCCGCTAGCTCCAACAATAAATAGTTGTTTTTTTTTTTTAAAAAAAAAAATGTTCGGATAAGGGAGGGTTGGGGAGATCTAGGACTTCTGTGTTGTCAAATTAGAACCTTTTTTTAATTATTAAAATTCACGGTTATCTGGCCGATGCGGGATCGAGAGCTCCCGTGAGCTCATGCAACCAAGCTGGCATATTGTAACTAGTTGCAGAGAGGAAGACAATGGTTCTTTTGTTGTAGATAGGGCTCGAGTCGTACCCGGTCTTGGAAAACTAAATAGCTATTCACACAGCTGTAGTTGGTGCTCTGGAAGAAGAGTCATCCATTTTTGGCGTCC